TGCTGGAACATCTGACTGAGACTGTGACACCTACACCATGGACAGTTCTGTCATCACAGTTAGACACCTGCAGCTTGAGACACCTGCTGGAACATCTGACTGAGACTGTGACACCTACACCATGGACAGTTCTGTCATCAGGGCTAGACACCTGCAGCTTGAGACACCTGCTGGAACATCTGACTGAGACTGTGACACCTACACCATGGACAGTTCTGTCATCAGAGTTAGACACCTGCAGCTTGAGACACCTGCTGGAACATCTGACTGAGACTGTGACACCTACACCATGGACAGTTCTGTCATCAGGGTTAGACACCTGCAGCTTGAGACACCTGCTGGAACATCTGACTGAGACTGTGACACCTACACCATGGACAGTTCTGTCATCAGGGTTAGACACCTGCAGCTTGAGACACCTGCTGGAACATCTGACTGAGACTGTGACACCTACACCATGGACAGTTCTGTCATCAGGGTTAGACACCTGCAACTTGAGACACCTGCTGGAACATCTGACTGAGACTGTGACACCTACACCATGGACAGTTCTGTCATCAGAGTTAGACACCTGGAACTTGAGACACCTGCTGGAACATCTGACTGAGACTGACACACCTACACCATGGACAGTTCTGTCATCAGAGTTAGACACCTGCAGCTTGAGACACCTGCTGGAACATCTGACTGAGACTGTGACACCTACACCATGGACAGTTCTGTCATCAGGGTTAGACACCTGCAACTTGAGACACCTGACTGAGACTATGACACCTACACCATAGAGACTGACACCTACACCATGGAGACAGTTCTGTCATCAGGGAGACTATGAGACACCTGCAACTTGAGACACCTGCATCTGGACACCTGACTGAGACCTGACACCACCATACACCATGGACAGTTCTGTCATCAGGGTTAGACACCTGCAACTTGAGACACCTGCTGGAACATCTGACTGAGACTGACACACCTACACCATGGACAGTTGTCATGAGGGTTAGACACCTGCATCTTGGTTAGACACCTGCTGGAACATCTGACTGGAGACTGTGACACCTACACCATGGACAGTTCTGTCATCAGGGTTAGACACCTGCATCTGACTGAGACACCTGCTGGACACCTGACAGTTCTCATCAGAGACACCTGATCTTGAGACACCTGCTGGAACTGAGACACACCTACACCATGGACAGTTCTGTCATCAGAGTTAGACACCTGCATCTTGAGACACCTGAATGAGAACACCTACACCAAAGACTGAGACACCTGCATCTTGAGACACCTGACCTGACACACCATGGACAGTTCTGTCATCAGAGTTAGACACCTGCAGCTTGAGACACCTGCTGGAACATCTGACTGAGACTGACACCTACACCATGGACAGTTGTCATCAGGGTTAGACACCTGCAGCTTGAGACACCTGCTGGAACATCTGACTGAGACTGACACTGACACCATGGACAGTTGTCATCAGGGTTAGACACCTGCATCTTGAGACACCTATGTGAACACCTGACTGTGACTGACACCTATACCATGGACAGTTCTATCAGGGTTAGACACCTGCATCTTGAGACACCTGACTGAGACTATGACACTTACACCATAGACAATTCTGACATCAGGGTTAGACACCTGTATCTTGAGACACCTGACTGTGACTGACGCCTATACCAGGGACAGTTCTATCATCAGGGTTAGACACCTGTATCTTGAGACACCTATGTGAACACCTGACTGTGACTGACACCTATACCAGGGACAGTTCTATCATCAGAGTTAGACAGCTGCATCTTGAGACACCTGCTGGAACACCTGACTGATACTATGACACCTACACCATAGACAGTTCTGACATCATGGTTAGACACCTGCAGAAACACATGACATGACGTGGGTGTTGTCAAGTTGAGGAAACATAACACATGTTATGAAAATGGGATATTCATGCAGGCAGAGTTAAAGAAGAAGAGTTTTCAACTCAGTACCAATGATGGATGTATGGTTGACAGACAGAAACACAAGCAAAAACTCAGGTCACATCATGTAGGGTGTGCTGGCATAAAGTGCTCTTATTTGGCCCAAATCATCAATACGGAAAAATAAATTCATATAAAAATAATATAATAGATACTGGAGAGTATGGATTTATTTCTGTGACACTATGTAAGTCTTACATTTATTGGCAACATGAAAAAAACGTATTCGCTAATGATTTACATAATTTAAATATGTCATTAGCTTGAAGTTCAGATATATTAGAAACATTTATGTCATTGTGATTAATATATGTGTATTTATAAAGTTGATTACTGACATTTGTACATTGTCAATCAGACAACATCCTAAACATCTTATACAAATAAATAGACAACAATTTTACTCTGAATTCTTTCTGAAAACTGGTTCAGAAGGCTGAGTTGTCCAAGGCATCACAGTGCAGAGTTGCTTCCCCTTGGGCTTGCCAGAAACCTGTGTTCATTGGTTTGACTCCTGGTCATGTGTCTTGGTTTGTCAGCTTCATACCAGTCCTTGTGCGTTTAACCAAAGTCGTCAACAGCTGAGATATGTATCACTTCGGGCTTCCTCACACATAATACTGATACGGAATTATATATCTGGGTGAGTGAGTTTTGTTTTACGCCGCACTCATCAATATTCCAGCTATATGGTGGCAGTTTGTAAATAATAAAGTCTGGACCAAACAATCCCGTGATCAACAGCATCAGCATCAATCTACGCAATTGAGATACAGTGACGTGTGTCAACCAAGTCAGCAAGCCTGATCACCCGATCCCGTCAGTCGCCTTTTACAAGAAGTATGGGTTACTGAAGGTCATTCAAACCCTGATCTTCATGGGTATTATATATCTGGCGTACAAACAGTTTTGTTAAAACCCGACACTCACTCACCTACTCTTCTTGAACAGTACTGGATCAATACAATAAATAAACAGAATTACTTAAAACGCTTTTGATTTGATGTGCTGTTGACAAGTGCATTTCAACTACTTTGCTCTAACAAGATAAATGTACTGCAACCAGTACTGAATGTCCATTAAAAAAAACCCCCAGAAATCCATACCTTATCTGTCTTCACTGAAGCTCTTCTAAATACCACTGGAAGGCACAGTAGTTGTTTGCCCTGTATGTCACACTGAAGGTTCCCTGGAACTTGGTGAACAGATTGTTAAATAATTCACTGCTTCACCTTGGGGCTGACCTGTCCATACAGTTGTATCCTTTGGAGGAACAGCTATTTTGCCAAACACACAGGGAACTATTGGTCTCACAAGCAACAATGATTGTATCCCGTTCCAGACTGGCATTATGCTGAGCTTTGTATCTTATTATTTAGCACCAGCTTTGCAGTATGTGTCTGGAAGGGTAATGTCATTGGCTTCTGCACAAGCTGTGGCACTGTGTCTGATCAGGCCAACAGAACAAAACACCATGTCACATTGAAACCACTTTTGAATTCTGTTAAAAGGTATTTTTTCATAACATGAAACTGTTTTACTAAGATTTAAACCATGTGCAGTGTTTGTTTGTCAGTACAGCCTGGTTCTTGTGTGAGAGACATTCACGAATTTCCACACCTGAGCCCTACTTGCACTGGTTTTACTGTAATTAGCTCCAAGTTAGATGTGATGACGTTTCTCTGGGTCTGACCTAGGACGCTGATTAACTTTATATGTTGTTAACGTCTTGATTCCGAAGTTGAATCTAAACGTTAACCGGAAATCAGTAATAGAACTTGGTGGGAAAACAACCACATATACAATGTATTACACTTTGGATTTTCTTACATAATAAATAAATAACACTGCCACTTGATAGCAAAAGCAAGACACCATTATCGCACACACGAATCTTCAATGTGTCATGGCATGAACCTTCAGCTATCTTAGTTAAAAAGCATGGCTGCTAAAAGCTGATACGATTGCCGATCAGAGGTATGTGCTCAAATCTTTGAAGGGCATTTAGAAGTGGAATGCATAAGAAAAGCAAGATTTATGCATGTCAAATTCTTTATTGTGAATAACACAAACGTCGGAGGAAAAACAAGATGAATGAACAAGAATACACCCTGAAATGTGTTATTCACAATAAAGAATTTGACATCCCAACATCATGCTTTTCTTGGCTACATGCTGCCCACCTTTGAGTCTACTCAGACCTGTATTTCTTGAATGTCATCAAGACCTCTTAAATGTAATTGTTCAAACAAAACAGCAAATAATCTTACCCATGCATGGTAGTTATGGTCATTTTGTACAACGGCATCCAGGCCGTTAATGGCCCAGTCTAAGTAAACTTAGTCTCAGTATTATTCGTTACCCTACTGTACTGAGTAGAGGAGTGTAACGAATAGTACTGAGACTAAGTTTACTTAGACTGTTAATGGCCAAAATTATGCTAATCAGCTTGACAATATCAGGCTTTAAGTAATGGAAACGTCCCTTATGATGTGTTTTTCCACCAGGAGAATACATCCATGCAAAGTCTTGTTGCTATGCTGTTGCAAAGGATTATTTTGCCTTTGAACACCTTGAGAACCCTCTCATGCTGTCGATCACTGGATTGTCTGGTACAGACTCAAATACTTACACACTGCTGTTACTGAATGCGGCGTTAACAACAAACTAAAAGACTTGAACACCCTTCCTCTTCACCAGATTGGGTTGATTTCTGTCTCCCTAACCCCATGAAACTGTCTGGCCAGGATCGTTGTTATGACGTCATTTCTGCTGTTGTTTTCTCCACTTGTTTTCTCATTACTGTCAACCCATGATGACAAAATTTGGATGCTTATAATATTATAATACATTGTCATGATGCGTCGTAATAACAACGACAAACCCTTATCTTTGACGGTAGAAGAGTGACAGTCAATATAACAATTCAGTCCCGATTATGAGGATGACTTTATCAATCACCATCAAATATATTCATATATAAGCTATGAAGTGAAGCTCAACGCTCAGTCAGAATGTTCGGCCGGGAGTAGAAGACCTCTTTTGTCCTGAATACAATGCAATCCATTACAATTACAAAAAATGGAATATAGTTTGATCGCCATCATAGCAAAATGCATCATTAAACGTCATGGGAAGTGAGTTAACGTGTGCCCTTCTTCACTCCCCACAGTCTCAAGTGTATACTCAGACTTATATAAGGTCAGTCGACCCTCCTGACGTTGCCCACGTCGTCAGATCCACTAAAACAAAGATTCGTGGACTATTGTTACATCCACCCTGATAACACACGTGTACATTGCCCATATGTACTCCCTAGCCTAGTGTTTCACTTAGGTTTCGTGTCCTCACGGGTAGGTTCCGAGCCTTCGCTCTTGATCAGCCCCAAACTTTAGCCTTCAATGTTCAATGCCAGTGTCACTTAACAAGCCTATGCTCCATCCTGTACGTAACGCCAGAAGATGATAAGGCAGAATTTGCTGGCCTTGGTTAATGGAGTGCAGGGTTCAGGGCAAGAAAGTTTAATCATCCATGTATGGTATGGAACAATAACATCATGTTATAATATACAGATAAGTATGTTCTTATCTATCCTCCAACTGCTGGTTGTAACGCATATGTTCACTTGGCTCAATGTGTTCAACAACAATCAACATTGAAATGTGTAACCTCTTCAACCTATAAGTGATTTAATGGGCATCAACACGTCTATAAACACTCGTGATTACACAGAAATGATTTACTGTAGATTCTTCCATCTATTTAATTCTCACCTGTGCTTCTCAGACCCATATTGCAAAGCTGGTCAGTCGTTGCAGGTGCAAAATAATAAGAAAGGTCAACTTAATGCCAGTTAGCTGTCTGAGACGGGATACAATCATTGTTGCTTGTGAGACCAATCTGTTCAAATGAAATGACATTCCCTACATAACCACATCATTTGCACAGACGACCTTGGGATCTGAGGTCCACAGTCCGATATGGATGGTAACGTCCTCTCAGCGTGTCACAAACCTCTAATTGTGAGTTCGAATCCTAGAATCCGCTGATCACCTTTCCTGGACTGTCGGTACCATGCCCGTGCTCTCGAATCTCCTCCGCCTGAACCATCACATCAAGCTGGCACGCTTTCATACAACCGAATATTGTTCAAAGCGGTATCGAATTACACAATGCCAATAAAACTATATATATATTATTTTCAAACTCTCAGAAGTACATTGTACCCGTGAAGGTCCGGGTTAGAATGAACCTTCAGTAACCCATGTTTGCCGTAAGGCTCGATGGCATGGTTGACTCATGTCATCGGTTCCCAATTGCACAGGTCAATGCTCATGCTGTTGATCACTGGATTGCCTGGTCCAGACTCGATTATTTACAGACCGCCGCCATATAGCTGGAATATTTCTGAGTGCGGCGTAAAACTAAACTCACTCACTCACTCACTCAGAAGTGCATTGTCTATTTCTGAAGAAAATATAACATTCTCACTCTTAGTTTTCTTATTATTCAGTCACAAATGTAGATAATAGATTAATACGCTTTGTTTTTGTTTCATTGGTGGATATTTCTTTGCTCTGTGGTTAATGTCGACGTAGTTTGGTATGGGTCCGTGTAGGTTAGTTTCGGCGTGGTTCCGTTCACTACGTCCCAGTAACCAAGAATGTGAGGGGATCTAACTGGTTCCGGCGCGGATTTCTCTGCTATTTCTTTAAAACAGACAGAATGCTGCGAAGTCCGTTTGAGTCTGTATTCGTGGCAGAGTAGAAATACATACAGACAGAGATATTTCACACCAGAATATCTAAACAAGTAGATAGAGTAAATAAACTTAACAAGTAGATATAACATAAGCAAAATGACAAAATGTTATTTGGGTAAATACGGTACGATTAAGGTGACAGACTGGTACGTATGACTGGTATGAACGTTGTTGATTATTAGGAAAGTTACAGTAAGATAATTACACGGTGGATCGTGTGTGATAATAGACAACAGCTAATAACCAGTCATCGTCACAAAATCATCGACAACTAGAACCATGTGACATGTTATATTAGGGAGTACCCAACACAAGTAGCCTACTAGAAGCTGTACTATACTGAGAAAGTGTCATCCCATAACATATGTTACATTTGACCACTTTCTAAATGGCCGCTTAATTTAGTGTGCATTCATAACTAGAACCATACCCAGCAAAGTCCATATAATCGTGAACCGCCTCCGTGGTGTAGTGGTTAGAGCGTCCGCCCGGAGAGCGGAAGGTCGCGGGTTCGATCCCCGACCGCGTCATACTAAATGACGTTAAATATGGTACTTGTTGGTCCCTGCCTGGCGCTCGGCATTAATGGGTACAACAAGGACTGGTCGGCTCGGTGTCAGTATAATGTGTCTGAGTGGGGTATTCATGCTTCACTGCGGCATGGTATCTCAGTGGGCTAGCACTATAAAACCAGCTTAAGTCTGGTCGTCATATGAGCGAAATATTCTCCAGCACGACGTTAAACCCAATTTCACCTCACCATATAATCATGTGGGTACAGCAAGAGCATCATCAAGATCAAGTTGACCAGTGTCAACATTCTATTGAATGTGCTTCCCGATCTTTGTAAATATACTCTCCCAAAAAAGTAACGCATCATGAAAATAGCGATTTCATGTAGCAATGAATTAAAACGTGATTCATTTTACAAAAGGTTTTGGTCTGTTTATGAGTCCTATGGTGTTTATATTTTGAAACATCACAACAAAACGCACCATCCGTAAAATACCCGTATTTTACAGCATGATTTGCAATTTCGGCGTGTAGTGACACAGAATACACAATTCACATGCAATGCACGTGATAGTTGGGATCAGATAGTCTCAATGATGTGTATAAAAGGTTGATCGCTGTCTGTGGATTATTCACTGCATTTGGAATATTGTTGACGAACGCAAAATGCCACGTCTAAGTGAAGCCAACCGTCATATCGCCATTGGTTTGCTTGAAGCTGGCCAACGTGCAGTTGCCCGACGCATGAATGTTCGTCAAAGCACCATTTCCCGGTTCTGGGAGAGATATCGCCGGCAGAATGCGGTAGCAGATGCCCCTCGTAGTGGGCGACCTCGAGCGACCAATGCGGCGCAGGATCGCTACATCCGGGTACATCATCTGCGTCATCGAACAGCTACTGCGACCAGTACCGCTCGACAAATACCCGGATTGAGGAGGCATTCTGCACAGACCGTCAGGAACAGGTTGAGAGAGAGGCTGGTTTACGTGCCAGAAGACCTTATTTTGGCCCTGTGCTTCGACAACAACATCGTCAACATCGAGTTCAATGGCCTGAAACGTTCAGGCCTGGAACCTACCGAATTGGGGTAGAATCTGGTTCAGTGATGAATCACGATTTCTATTGGAACGACGCGATGGAAGAATGCGGGTGTACAGACGTCGACGCGTGAACGTTTCGCCGACGCTTGCATTCCCCAGGTGGACAGATTCGGCCGGGACAGTGTTATGATGTGGGGGACGATCACCTGCCGTAGGAGAAGTGATTTGGTGATGATCCAGGGCAACCTGACAGCTCAACGGCACTGTGACGAAATCCTACGCCCACTCCTCCTTCCAATCATTGATCGCCAGAGGGAGTTGTTTCAACAGGACAATGCCAGGCCCCACACAGCACGTCACACTAGAGACTTCCTCCAGAACCACAACATCAATGTGCTCCCCTGGCCCTCAAGATCACCGGACTTAAACCCGATCGAACATCTGTGGGATGCCCTGGACAGACGGGTGCGACGCCGTAGCCCTCAGCCCCAGACACTTCAGCAACTCGCACAGGCACTACAGGCAGAGTGGGCTGCGATTGGGCAACACGAGATTCTGAGACTTATTCGTTCGATGCCGAGGCGATGCCGTGCAGTTCTGGATGCCCACGGTGGTCACACGAGGTATTGACTTCAGCGCCACCACACGTCTCCATGTGACACTCAAACTGACTTTCCTCGAGTTGGTGCCAAAGACGGATAAGTCTGCATTCCCAGGGTGCAATTTCGCTATATTTCATTGACTCATAAAGCCTACAAGATGTTTCAAAATAAACATAAAAATACAGTTATGCTTTTCCTATATGCGTTTCTTTTTTGGGAGAGTATATTTGTTGGAACATAGAACTGAGAATATATAAGTTTTGGAAACCAGTTAGGCTCTTTCTCCACTACATATCCCTCGCTTTACGCATTTAGTGCAGATCCAAACTGTGTTTTATGATCTCTGGCAGTGTATGAAATAAGGCCCGTCCGACCGCCCGAGACGGGCTAGATTTCTGAGGACAGTCTAAATTTACAGCTAGCCAGCCCGATGGTCTGATAAATTTTTTTCGTAAATTTGAGTAAATTCACCATTTCTTGGTGTTTGGTCTGCTTAAATCCATTTTTGGCTGGTAACAATTTGAAGTTACCAGCCCTGACGTCTGGCTGGATTTTTGGCTTATTTCATACACTGTCTCTGGCACCCAATATATGATTCGCTAAAATATCTTCCATCCAGTTTCACTTGAATTACTTTTTTTTCGGTTTAGACGTTTAAAGTTGGTTAGGGATTTTCTTCATACCCATTCTACTTTTAGCACAGCCAAGCCCACTGGCCTGACACCCCAATCCCGTTAGTGGCCTCTTAATGACAAGCATGGACAATTGTATTCCGTAGCCTATCGCGGATTTAGTGGAAGCATGTCATTGTGATTGATGCTCATGATGAAAGTCACTGGACTGTCAAATCCAAACAGTCGTCATATACACAGAGTATTGCCGAGTGTGGTTATTAACAACAAACAAACAATCCCATCGGATCAAGTCCGTTTTGAAGCTGATGGTCGTGTTGGTATTTTATGTGCGCATTTAGAACTTGATTGCCAGTACGGAGTAGCCTCCCCTTTTCCTCACGTTGTCCAACCACTGATCTCATACGTAGTCTTTGCATGTGAAAACAAAATCATTGTTGCAGATAAATTCATTACAAGATACTAGAAATGATATTAAATCTTTAATGTCACGTCTAAATAACTCATGTCTCTTTTTGGTTAGTTATGTTTTTTTAAATATACATTTACTGCTGATCTCTACCCACGTGGTTAAGGAAAACACATGTGGGACTGAAATGAGTGAGAGAAGACGGTACCGTTACACTGTGATACCGTTATACATAAACTGACGATTCTGCTGAATGTGTCAAACGTGACGATGGAAGACAGCAATTGCTCAGAGTATTCAATGATCAATGCTGTTCATTCATTATGTCAAAAGAACGCAAAATGCAATTCCAAGTTGAAATGGCTACTGTCAAAACAGGTGAGCACTAGCTGTTAAAGTCAGGGAATATTTTGATCTGACATGTTGATATGTTTTCATGCCATTAGAGAGGGGGACTTTGGGGTCATTTGGTAATGCGAGAAAACCAAATCGATCTTACACCACATTGAATGCATACTGATATCAGCTTTATCAAATACGATAGTAATTTACGTCTTGGTTTTGTTTTATATTAATATATATATACACGCGCATATTGCAATCAGTGAGCCGGATGAGTTAATGATAACCCTAACTGCACAGAGACAGTGCCTAAGGTTCACACTTAACACAAATGACAAGGTTTAGAATTTGGTTCAATACATAACTGACCGCCTCCACTGGTCCAGTGGAAAGAGCATCCTAATACGGAGAGTCAGTGTATAAATGTGTCACCTCATCATTGATGGTACATACTGTTACGCTAGGTGTGCTTTTGCATTGAGACATAAAGCAAATACTGGCTGGTTGGATGTCTGTATGTGTCTGAGCTAGTATTACAGAAATTGACAAGTATGTAAGAAGACATACAAGTACCCCCACAGTGCAGTAATCTGAGATGTGTCATTTTACCTCATCTGTTGTCAATGCTCATGGCAAAACTGAAGTATATAGATAACAGTTATGCATACTACATCAGAGACCATGTAGAGATTATATTACATGGTCTCTGATTACATAGACTGACAGACTTACACCATGAGTAAGCATGTTATGGCATCAGTGGTAATATTTTGATAATATTGTATCCAAAAGTTAATCACTCAGCTTCCAGTATATTTATAGAAGTTAATTATAAGCAAGTTGACATATAAAACAAATAAGAATTCATTTAATTGTCTTTTTGTATTCCTACCTGACAGATTTGGCCCCCCTCTGATCGGACAGCCTTGTTGGAGGGTCTGTCACAGCTGTTCCTTGACTTCCAATGTTCCGCTGACATATGCACCAGTGTCCGACCTCTCATCCTCGATATAATTGAGAGATCCAAGACTTCAGTGCTTCTACATGGACATGAAAACAATATTTATATTACCAAATTTGCAGTTGCTTTAAGTTTAGGTATAGGCAGTACACCAGATCTCAGGAACTTTTCTGTTGAATTTTTGAATACATACAAGCCATTTTGTCAGTCACCTAATTCTGATGGAGAGCCAAGGAAGAAAAAGAAGAAAAAAGAAAAGGTAATGGTAGCACTTTTGGCAGACATTATTGACAGTGTACTAAAGGAAGTGTTCTGTAGGCAGACACTATATGCAGAGCACAGCACAGATTGTATATTTGATTTTGATATGGATATGAACTGTTTAGGCATCTGCAGTGATGCTTGTGCTTATGAAGAGAACCATTTAATTTTAGATTGTCATAAACATGATAAAGATTTCATAAAATTGCTCTGAAAGCTTACATGATGCTATTTGCGTCACTTTTGCAGATAGCTGATTTTTTTTAGACTGTTGTCTTTATATTTTAAACAATTCATGAATCATGTTCACAGAGTGCATGAGTACTCCTGGTTTCACACAAGTTGGAATATTTTGAACATATAACATTCATCCTAATAAGCACCCAGGACATTAGAAGTTGGCAGATGGGGACTTTTATCAAAATCATGTTCAACAAATTAAATTTGCTGTCGGAGATCAAGTAGTAGAGATAAAACGTTGTTGAAACATTAGTGAAACTAAAACTTTTGCAGTAATAGTATCTCAGCAAATATGTACCCCTTCTTTTCAGGTGTTTAGTATTTGTATTCAAATTCTCATCATGATATGGCTGAAATATTGCTGATGTGACATTCAATTTTAACTCACTTACTCTATTTGGGGACCGCCTCCGTGGTGTAGTGGTTAGTAGCGTCCGCCCGGAGAGCGGTGAGTACCCAACAAAAGTGGCATACTAGAAGCTGTACTATACTGAGAAAGTGTAATCCCATAACATATGTTACATTTGACCACTTTCTAAATGGCCGCTTAATTTACTAGAACCATACCCAGCAAAGTCCATATAATCGTGAACCGCCTCCGTGGTGTAGTGGTTAGAGCGTCCGCCCGCGGAGAGCGGAAGGTTGCGGGTTTGATCCCCAACTGCGTCATACCAAAAGACATTAAAATATGGTACTTGTTGGTCCCTGCCTGGCGCTCGGCATTAATGGGTACAACAAGGACTGGTCGGCTCGGTGTCAGTATAATGTGTCTGAGTGGGGTATTCATGCTTCACTGCGGCATGGTATCTCAGTGGGCTAGCACTATAAAACCAGCTTAAGTCTGGGCTAGTACAAGCAGCTGCACATACACATGCATGCATGTCGTCATATGAGCTAAATATTCTCAAGCACGACGTTAAACCCAATTTCACCTCACCTCACTCTATTTGGGTGTGTTTTCTGTGAAAGGCACAGTGCACATCTAAGGGTAATAGATTATTTACACATTGGTGAGAGAGTCCTTATTAGAGTAGGGCTCGTTGAATAAGATAATTCTGTTATTCACTGCAACCATTATAAAGAACTGGGCATGTTCATTGGTAAGCATGCCAGGAATAGGTTTGGAAGACTTAGTGGTATGGCATATGCATTGCAACAGTTCGTGGCTCAATGGCAGTGTGTTTTTGTGAAAGTGAAATATGTAACAGAGTTCATTGCCTACTTGAGCATGTTGAGTATCACTATCAGTAGCTTCATATATTATTATTTCAGTTGAGCGATCTTGAGTTGTGTCGGGCAATGTGGACCTTTGTAGACGTCCTGGGAGAAAGTGTGGAGGGCTGCATCACACTGGACCTCCTGGTGGCCTATCTGTCTCACCATGAATCCCAAGTCAGATGGTGAGTCTGTCATGTCTGCCGCACCATAAACCTCAAGTCAGGTGGTGAGTGTGTTGTATCTGTCTCACCATGAGCCTCAAGTCAGTTGGTGTCTGTTATATCTGTCTCACCATGAACCTCAAGTCAGGTGGTGAGTCTGTTGTATCTGTCTCACCATGAGCCTCAAGTCTGGTGGTGTGTCTGTTGTATCTGTCTCACCATGAACCTCGCATCATATGGTGAGTCTGTTATATCTGTCTCACCATGAACCTCAAGTCAGGTGGTGAGTCTGTTGTATCTGTCTCACCATGAGCCTCAAGTCATATGGTGAGTCTGTTATATCTGTCTCACCATGAACCTCAAGTCAGGTTGTGAGTCTCACCCGCCGAGACCTCCGATGAGATCTGTTGTATCCGTCTCTCCATGAACCTCACATCAGGTTGTGAGTCTGTTGTATCTGTCTCACCATGAGCCTCACGTCTGGTGGTGAGTCTGTTGTATCTGTCTCACCATGAACCTCAGCGTCAGGTTGTGAGTCTGTTGTGTCTGTCTCACCATAAACCTCACATCAGATGGTGAGTCTGTTGTATCTGTCTCACCATGAACCTCAAGTCTGGTGGTGAGTCTGTTGTATCCGTCTCTCCATGAACCTCACATCAGGTTGTGAGTCTGTTGTATCTGTCTCACCATGAGCCTCACGTCAGGTGGTGAGTCTGTTGTATCTGTCTCACCATGAACCTCGCGTCAGGTTGTGAGTCTGTTGTGTCTGTCTCACCATAAACCTCACATCAGATGGTGAGTCTGTTGTATCTGTCTCACCATGAACCTCAAGTCTGGTGGTGAGTCTGTTGTATCAGTCTCACCATGAACCTCACATCAGGTGGTGAGTCTGTTGTATCTGTCTCACCATGAACCTCAAGTCAGGTGGTGAGTCTGTTGTATCTGTCTCACCATGAACCTCAAGTCAGGTGGTGAGTGTTGTATCTGTCTCACCATGGGTCAGGTGTGAGTCTGAGCCTCAAGTGTCTGTCTCACCATAAACTCCGTGAGGTGGTGTGTCTGCCTGTCACCATGGTGGTGAGTCTGTTGTATCTGTCTCTGTTATATCTGTCACCATGAACCTGCATCATATGATGAGTCTGGTGGTGAGTCTGTTGTATCTGTCTCACCATGAACCTCACAGGGGGTGAGGTGTGTTGTGAGTCTGGTGAGAGTGTATCTGTCTCACCATCTCACCATGAACCTGTCATATGGGTGAGTCTGTTGTATCTGTCTCACCATGAACCCTCAAGTCAGGTTGTGAGTCTGTTGTATCTGTCTCACCATGAACCTCACATCAGGTGGTGAGTCTGTTGTATCTGTCTCACCATGAGCCTCACATCAGGTGGTGAGTGTTGTATCTGTCTCACCATGAACCTCAAGTCAGGTTGTGAGTCTGTTGTATCTGTCTCACCATGAGCCTCACATCAGGTGGTGAGTGTTGTATCTGTCTCACCATGAACCTCGCGTCAGGTTGTGAGTCTGTTGTGTCTGTCTCACCATAAACCTCAAGTCAGGTGGTGAGTCTGTTGTATCTGTCTCACCATGAACCTCAAGTCTGGTGGTGAGTGTTATATCTGTCTCACCATGACCCTCAAGTCAGGTGGTGAGTCTGTTATATCTGTCTCACCATGAACCTCAAGTCATATGGTGAGTCTGTTGTATCTGTCTCACCATAAACCTCAAGTCAGGTGGTGAGTCTATTGTATCTGTCTCACCATGAACCTCAAGTCAGGTGGTGAGTCTGTTGTATCTGTCTCACCATGAACCTCAAGTCTAGTGGTGAGTGTTGTATCTGTCTCACCATAAACCTCAAGTCAGGTGGTGAGTCTGCTTCCCAGCCTATAGGTGACTGCGGATGTCTGGTTGACGTTCTAGAGGAGATGTAGGAAAGGATACACTGTCACATGGAAACTAACTACTTTAAACATTTAAACTAGTTGAAATTTGAGCTAGTCCCCATGGTAGCTGCACCTAAATGTTTGTGTTGACATAACCAATGCTGTTATATGGCTATATGTTCCACTCTGCAATAAGACAGAGTAAGAGATGTGAGATGTGTTCCAGGTTTGCTGCGGAGGCTGTGTCCCAACTGGTCCGGATGTCAGAGAGTCAGAGGGAGATGTTCCTGCGGAAATACTTCACTGAAGAAGAGATCAGAGAACTTTCTGTTAGGTAATGCAACAATACTTGCCTATCATGCAATTCCTTCAACAGGTAACTTGACATTAGCTGTATTGATACCCTGTCCAAAGCTTTGTGTATTGTTGGACCATCCTTCATCTCCCCATTAACTTTCATATATCATTAGCTGCATGATGATATGGGTTGTTTCTTGTTCATTTCATCACTGGTTTGGCTGGTCCAGACTTGCCTGTTTACAGGCCAAACATATCCCCAGAAATATGTGCTGGTCGTTTGAGGTCACCTAATGGAATTAGTGACTCGGCAGATAGTGTGTCATCATACCTTGAAGGTTTGGATTGTTACTCTCAGATGTTGGATGTCTGGTTCGCCCTGATCGTGTATCATGCCTCCAGACTTGTGGTACTGGTAAATGTCTGACTTGCTTCACTTTGGGATTTCCTCACACATTAAGTGAGTGAGTCGGGTTTTACGCCGTTCTTAGCAATATTCCAGCAATGTTACAGCGGGGGACACCAGAAATGGGCTTCCCACATTGCACCCATCGCACATTAAGCTCACGCACACTGACATAACTGGAATACTGTTCAAATTTTGGGTGAACCAAACTCTCTCACTCATTTTGACTCAATTTGTTAAATGAAAATAATGCATATTTTGTTTCATTTCAGATATTTATTAGAAGATGGTCCTAAAAGGAAGGCTGAGTCTTTGGTTGTCGTGACAACAGATGTGAAGAAGTTGAGTCACACGATGCAGGGCCTGGTCAGCATGGACTTCAGTGACAGTGTTGTGGAAGTTGCTGGCCTCCTGTTGCCAAGACTACAAGGGGAGACAATCATGGTGAGTAAAATTTCACAAATGGCAACTTAAGAGCCCAGGGTATCACCCTTCAAATGTTTTAGCACTGGGGCTGTTTCCTGTGAGGTGAACAGACTTGGATGGTTAAAAGGTTTGACATAATTGATCAGGTGATAGACTCTGTGACTTAGTTGATTGCATGTCATCTAGTGAATTGTTGCTGATATCAATCACTTGCTTGTCTGGTCCAGACTCTATCATGTGCCATCATTGAGATAGACTATTGCTGAGTGTGTGGAGCTGGATCACAGCATGAAAGAGAAAAAAAAAAACATATTTTTTCTGGATTGCTGGAGGTGTACTGTGGTCAAAGTAGAAACTAAGGTGTTCAAGGTTCAGCATCCCATAATGTACCAAATAGGTTTAAGTCATTCCCTCTGTCAGCTGAATTGTTCATTAAAATTAGTACATTCCTTACATAGCTGAATAATTAATTCAGTTAACTGAATGCCTGACTATATCATTAAGTTTCTCCCAATACATAATCTTTCAAACCAGTTAGTTCCCTTCATATTCTGAATTATTTGCTCAATTCATTTTTGCTGTTCATTCATTTCTCCATAGACGGAATCATGCATTCAATTCATTTACCTGTATACTGCATAATTTATTCAGTTTATTCCCTCCGAGACTTGTAATTCAATTTAATTCATTCATCCATCCATCTCCATAGACTGATCATTATGTTATTATTATTATTATTATTATATTATTAGGATATCATATCCACACTAGTGCATGCTCAAGACTGGCATTTTTTCCCTCGATCATTGGATGTCAATATCAACTGCACATCGTATTAGCAATCTCAGCTCCCTGGGGAGTATACAACTCTTGCTGCTACTAGGTGCACCGAGTTATTGTGGCTTTCTCATCCTAACGAGGTTATTCCCTCCGTAGTCTTGAGCTGTTTCATTTCATTCCCTTTCTAGACAGCGTCTGTGGAGCTTGTTCCCGTGCCCTCCATGCTCAGCAACCTCCGCAGCCTGGCACTGGCGGTCGTGTCGGGGGCCCCGGTCCTGCTGCAGGGGCCAGTCGGCAGTGGGAAGACAACTCTTGTCCAGCACCTGGCTGGCCTGACAGGGAGACACACTACACCACACCTGATCAAGATACAACTAGGGGACCAGACTGACAGCAAGGTAGGCAGATAACACAGGGGTGTAACAGCTGTTGATAACTGTAAAGGTTGTGTGGAGATATTATGAAATGTCAATGTTTGAATAATGCATATTTGTTACTAAGCCTCCTTCAAAATGGGAATTAGTGAAATTTGATAATTATTTGAGAAAAATAAGTTTGAAAAAATATTTTGCCTGCATTAGTAATTGTAAAACTTGATAACAGGAGTGGGATGTCAGGAGATAAAACTCACTGTTATCTAAACGTAGTTGTATGTAGGGACCGATGTTTGTCTGGTTGATCCCACCTGTGTTCGTGTGTGCAGGCACTGCTTGGCACCTACAGATGCACGGAGGTCCCGGGGGAGTTCGTGTGGCAGCCAGGCATCCTCACGCGGGCCGTAACTGAAGGATTCTGGGTACTTTTGGAAGACATTGACTTTGCACCGATGGACGTTGTGTCCATACTCCTGCCCCCTGTTGGAGACCAACACATTGACCATTCCAGGTCATGGGGACAACGTCAAGGCCAACCCTGGCTTCAGACTGTTTGCCACACAACGGTGAGATTTACAACCATGTGTGAATAGTAAATGTGTCAATAAGCAAAGATTCAGTTGTCAGTCTGGTCTGAACCTCAACAACAGGTTCTGATGCTTCTCCCTCTTCTGTAGACTTGTAGGAAGCAGCAGTGGGTGGCATCGTCAGCGCAGCGGTAGTGCTCTCCTCCTGGAGAAGATGTGGACCAGGATCAATGTTGAACCCCTCTCACGCTCTGAGCTGGAAAAGGTTTGTTGACTGTAATCACCTCGAATATCAAGTAGCCTAGTGGTTAAAGTGTTGGCTTGTCACGCCGAATACCCGGGTTCGAATCCCCACATAGGTACAATGTGTGAAGCCCATTTCTGGTGTCCCCCGCCGTGATGTTGCTGGAATATTGCTAAAAGTGGCGTAAAACCACACTCGGTCAGTCAGTCGAATATCAAGTGTAGTGTATCTCAGTTCCACAGTGTCATATTGCTGGTAGTTTTGCGTAATATCAGATTAAATAACCTATAACCTCAATGAATTTACATGCACAATTATATCACCTTGAAGTATGTGATATGATACATTAGTTACACACATTGTGGTACATGCAGGTGATAGTGAGCCAGTTTCTTCACCTTGAAGTATGTGATACGATACATCAGTGATATACATTGTGGTACATGCAGGTGATAGTGAGCCAGTTCCCCCAGTTGGCCACCGTGGTGGAGAAGCTACTGGACATATACCTCATGTTGTCAGCCGGCAAACACGACTCCGATACGTCTATATCAGACACCGACAGTACAGGAAAGTTCCTGTCTTTAGCAGGGAGACTAGTGTCTACCAGGTGAGTTCAACATTACCCTCAGTGAACAAGGAGGTGATTGTTGGAGCGTCAGTTGAGTTGTGTGGATAGCTTCCATGGGTCTCTATGTTAGTCAACTGACATGCCTACACCGAATACGTGGTTCTTGATTTGACTCTTAGACATATCACTTTATCCGAAATATGCTTCGGTTCACTCAGCAGTGCAAGGTTCCTGGTACAATGAGATGGTAATGTGCCTGTTGATCTTCTAGTGCTTGACAGGCAGATTCTGCTGTGTTCACCCTAGAGAGCCAAGAGTAAAATCGAATGCATGCTGATCCATGTAGGATTCTAGAATGCCCCTTTATGAAATGGAAGTATAGAGCAATATACATGTCATTGTTATTGGGTTTGTTTGGTTTTTTTTGTTATCATTATTGATATATTTATACCTTTCAGTGAAAAATTTGTAATTCAAACAATTCATACCTGGCTTTGAAAATATATCTGCCTCATGTTTTGTTAGAGATCCAATTCTCTGAGCATAATCTTCAAATTATTGATGTTAGTTGAAAAAAACAACAATACTGCCTGTTTTCGATTTCACCGTCTGTGTCATGTTGCAGGGATCTCATGACATGGATCAACAGAGTCAGTTCCGAGTTCGATATATCATCCACCGAGGCTGGCACCAAGGTGTTCCAGGAAGCCTTGGACTGTTTTGTGTCCTGTCTCCCCAAACCAAGCAAGAGGATGCCATTAGCAGAGGCCATTGGCGCCAAACTCAATGTATCAAAAATAAAGGTATTATTGTTAATGTTATTGTGTGATATATGAAATATTGGCCAAAAGGTCATGTGATCACAGAGAATGTTTTGTTAATATTACATTGTGTTACTAGAAATTCATGAACAAGAAGAAGATGGTGCTCCAGTTCTGTTTTCTTTTATGAATAAGGATGTTGTTGATAAAACCTTCGGATCATTGTAATTGTGGTATAGATAACTACTTGACTTGGACATAAAGAAAATCAGAAGATTTAATACACTGCAACATTATTAGTGTAAATAAGTGGATGCAATGTGTTGTAGTTGTGGAGTGTGGTAACAGTTACTTATATGTAGCTGTTTATAACTCAAGGGATTCAAGGGGCGGTGGGGTAGCCTAGTGGTTAAAGCGTCACGCCACGCTGAAGACCCGGGTTCCAATCCCCACATGGGTACAATGTGTGAAGCCCTTTTCTGGTGTCCCCCGCCGTGATGTTGCTGGAATATTGCTAAAAGCGGCTTAAAACCAAACTCAGTCAGTCAGTCAAGGATTCAAATAAATCTTCATCAATGCAAACTGTACCAGTGCCTGTTGTTTACGTTATGTGAAGAACAGATGTCAACCCGGCCTTGGTGCATGTTGCATTTGTGGCGTGTAATGTGACCTCTCATGGACCACAGTGTATTCACAAGCAATAGAGGAATACATGAACCCAGTGAAGTATTGAGGTTGACTTGCCTGAGAATCATGACTGTAGTGTTGCTCCCCGGTATTGTTGATTGATACAGAGTCTGTAGCCATCATACTTTATGCCAGTATTACAGGCCACAGTCAAATATTTTCAATCTTCTCCTCTCACATGTTCCTGGTCCTGTTTCAGGCTGAGTTCTACATCTGTAAGTACAAGCCCAACATTGAAGTGAGTGAGTCATCCTTCACCGCTGGCCGCGTTGTCCTACCCAGAAAACCAGCAGACATCATGACAATGAACAGGTGAGTTTCCTCTCAGATGTCACCATATGGTGTTTGATATTGTAGGTTTAGGTTTTCTGTATATGACTTGAGAAGTTAAACTTGACAGGTAGTCAGTATGGTTCCCTGTAGCGTGGAGATCAGAGTGATCCTTTATTCTTCTTCATAGAGATCGTCCTTGGGGTACATATTATGCATTTTCCAAGCTGAAAATGTCCTGTGACAGTTGTATCAATGTTTTTTGAATAAAAAGATTGTACAATAAATAAACTCTTTTATTTACTATACGGCCCCTACCTCACAGAGTTACCTCCCGTTGAGCATGCGCACCAACTGGGTAAGCTCCTAGACCCGTATCATCATTCCTTCTGCTGTCACTGCCGTGAACAGACGTCCATGAGCATTACAGCTGAACTTTCTGAATAAGAAAACTATGTCTGATACTATACCACCTGTATGTATGGTCTTTATTTGCCTATGAAAGGAACAGTAAAGCTTTACAGTTGGTTGTTTCATAATTGTGACTTTGTATTAATTCTAATATGCTCACTTTCCCGTGGTTTACGCACATGTTGCTCTGCCATGGCGGGAAGTTTAGCGTGCCATGTGGTCGTAATATTGCGTATTGAACCCACTCTTACTTCCCGTGGTAGCCTTCACGTATTTTTCAATGTTTTCTCACGTGTATATATGTTGCTGAATGCGCCCGTTAGCTACATGCTTGCGTGTTTGCTTTCAGGCCTTTTCGTCCTGTTCGGTCTGTGGACAGAGTATTCCACGGGCCGACAGGCATGACCAATGTGTAGCCTGTCTGGAAAAGACCGGCCATGACGCCAAAGTGTGTCCAATATGTCTTGGGTTTTCCCCCCGTGCCCAAAAGAGGAGGGCGGCTGACACTCTCTTTTACAAAGAGATCTGCGAGGGGGGGGGAACTGACCCAGGTCCCCGTCTAAGGCCCAAAAGCGGTCGTAAAGGGAAAAATCCCAAAGCCAAGCCCCCTCTCCTGCTTCTACTGGTGGGTTTGACATGTCTTTAATGGATAAATTGTTTCAGCAACATATGGACTCCGTGAAGTCCCTCGTCCGTGAGTCTGTTGGAGGGCTCCGGCAGGAGTTCCTCGCTCACTCCGGACGGGGGGCGGAGAGTCAGGGGGTGGGATCGCCGGGCTCGGCTCGATCCCTTAGCCTTGGGCGTCTGTAGACCCGTTGCCTCTGGCCGGGTCGGGCATGCCTGGCTGCCCGGAGGGAGGTGCTCCCAGTCCCCCTCGAGAGTTGGGCGCAGGGACCGTTGAGTATTCCTGGGGTTCCGATCCCTGCGCCCTCCCGCCCCATGAGAGCGGAGGCACCAGTTCTGCCTGGTCTGCCTCCAGCGTCTTGATCCCTCAACCTTGAGGCGTCTGTAGACCCGTTACCTCTGGCTTCGGGTCCGGACGCCTCGGCTGCCCCGGAGGGGAAGGTGCTCCCAGTCCCCTCTCGGAGTTGGCGCAGGGACGTTGAGTATTCCTGGGGTTCCGATCCCTAAGCCCTCCGCCCCATGAGGCGGAGGCACCAGTTCTGCCTGGTCTGCCTCCAGCGTCTCCGGGACGGGGTCCGTGCACTCTTGCAGGCACTGGCGGGGCACTCTGTCTGCTCTTCCCTCTCTGTGGTTCCTGAGTGCTAGGCCACCCACGGGTCGGGGGTTAGGGTCCTCTTTCAGAGGAGACCCAGCCTCAGACTTCGGGCTCGAGGCCCGAGTCGATGGAGCTTGGGGAGGTAGAGGAGCATGGCCGGTGCTCGTTTTGCCGGCTCTGCGGGAGGTCCGGCAAAGGATTGCCAAGGGCCTACCCAGGCAGCGGTGCCTGTTGGCAGCTTCGGACTCGGCTGAGTTCCGCTTGCCAGGCGGCGTTTGCCCCTAGGCAGCCCTACGCGGAGCGCAGCTCCGCATTCTGCCCTCGTTGGTACAGGGCGTGGTTGATCCCCTCTTGTCTGGTTCCGTGTCGGTTCGACTTGCGGGCTTATGCGGAGATACCAGCTTGGGGAGGAATCCCTGTTCGTGGTACCCATCGTGGGCGAGTGTGTTTTCACTTCCGTCGCCCTGGGGAGGCTCGGCTTCCTCGGAGCAGCTCCGGCTGCTTTCGGCAAGGCGTGTGACTCCACCGTTTGCCCTGGCGAGGCCCCTGTGACATGCGTGCGGACCTACGAGGTCTACGGAGCGCAATGCAGCAGGTCAGGGTGGTGGTCCATGAGGCCTACCTCTCCCCTCGATTCAGAGGTCGGCCCTGGAAGCGGAGGGCATGCTGGTGACGTTTACGCCGCGTGTCGTGCTGCTCCGTCAGCTATCGGAGTACAGGCCCACCTCGCGCGACTCTTTGCGGTCTGCTGCGTCGGCGGTGATGTCGCGCCCAGTCATGGGGATCGCAAGCTGTGGCTGTCGGCGTCTCGGTGCTTTCGGCAGCGGCGCAGCAGACCTTGCTGGCCCTCCTTCCGTCTGGGAGTGACCCTCTTTCCAGGGGCACAGCAGGTCATTCGGGGAGGCTGCGCTGCAGCTACCTCCTTCAAGGACTCTAAGGCCTTGTTGGAGCACCAGCGGGTGTCGCCCCAGCGCTCCGTTCCACCTTCCTCCGCCGGGGTGCAGCCTACACCCGAGTCTGCCGGCTGGCCCGGCCCGCTTGGTAGGGGTAGGGCGGGAGGAACAGGTCCGCCAAGGGTAGGGGCAAGGAGCAGTCCTCGACTAGCTCCCAGCCTTTTCGCAGCGGGCGGCGGGAGGTCTGCCCGACCTCCCGTTAACCCATCAGGCTGTCGCTCAAGCCGTGTGTCCGCGCCCAGTCAGCTCCGCTGCTTTCGGGACAGCGCCGCGCTCCTACCCCATATCCCAGTGGGAGGCCGCCTCTCTCTATTCCTGCGGAATGGGAGAAGGCTACCAACAATGCTTGGGTGCTGGCCACCCGTCAGCATCGGCCATTTACCACTGTGGAAGGCGAGTCCGCCCGACTTCACGGCATCGCGCGCGCACTCGGTGCCGTCATGTCAGGCAAGGGGCGGACATATTAGCGGCGAAGTTCAGGCTCTGCTGGACAAGTCCGCCAATCGAGCGCATTCCACGGGAGAGGAACGAGGCGGGATTTTACTCCACGTGCTTCCTCGTCCCGAAGAAGGGCGGCGGGTTCCGTCCATTCTCAACCTCAAGGGGTTGAACCGCGTACTAGAAGTACCATCCTTCAAGATGGAGACACTGCGCTTCGGTGATCTCATCTGTTCAGCCCGGCGATTGGCTCCGTCGTCAATGCGACCTAAAGGATCGCGTATCTGCATGTGCCCATACATCCATCGTTCAAGCAGTACCTTCGGTTCTCTTACGGCGGGATGTGTTACCAATTCAGGGTGCTCCCCTTGGCATATCGACTGCCCCAAGGGTGTTCACCAAGCTCATGTTAGTCCCAGCTACCCTCGCTTTCGTTCCCAAGGGAAGGCGTTGTTACCCTTACCTCGGCGACTGGTTGCTCGGAGCACTAACACAGCCAGCGAGTCTAGATGCTACTCACACAGTGATAGACATTCTAACTTCGACTGGGGTGGATAATCAACCTCAAGAAATCCGACCTGGTACCCACCCAGGACTTGGTTTTCTTGGGCGCGATTCAAACAAACAAGGATCTCGTTTCCTTGTCGCCCGACGGATCACCAGAGTTAGGAGATGGTATCTTCGTTCCTCTCCCAGCCCCAGGCACCAGCGGACTTGGCTCCGTCTACTGGAGCCATATATGGCGGCGGCGATCTCTGTCGTGTGGCGGTAGCGGTTGAATCGCCCTATACAGCAAGCTTTGGCTCGGCTGTGGGCTCACGGAGGAGGATCTGGGCGCAGTCTCACAGTCCCAGTGGTTGACACCTCACCTTCAGTGGTGGACAAATGTCGGGGAATCTCACCAGGGGATCCCCTTGGAAATCCCGCGCCAGCTCTCACAGTTCAGACCCGATCGTCCCTCACGGGCTGGGGGTGTTCTGGGCAGTCTGTCGGCGTCAGGACTCTGGTCGAAGCGAAGCCCACCTTCACATCAAGGTGTTGGAACTGAGAGCTGTGCGGTTGGTTTTGGCTTCAGAGAGCATGTCCGTGGCCAGGTAGTCCGTCTTCAGTTGGACAACCAGGCGGCCATGTCGTACATCCTGAAGCAGAGGCGACGCGGTGTCCCCAAGCGCTCCTCCGGGGCGTGGGACTTTCTCCTCTGAATGCGACCAGTGCGACTGTCAGGTACTCCCTGTTTATCTCCGGGGCTGGAGAGCGTCGCGAGCAGATCGCTCTCTCGCGGATCCTGGCCCGCCGCAGTGGATGCTTTCGACAGGCAGATTTTCAGAGTAATCTCCCAGTTATGCGGATTGCGTTCCAGGTGGATCTGTTTTGCGTCCGGCGGGGGCGCATCAGACACCGATGTTCTGCTCGAATACGGACCCAGAGCGTTGGCTGCGGCGCCTTCCTGCTGGATTGGGCGGGCAAAGTGCTCTGGAAGCGTTCCGCCGTTACCACTCATTCCCGTGTCCTTTCACAGCTGTCCACCCAGCCAGCTCGGCTGCTTGTGCTACTGGCACCGCTTTGGCCATCCACAGAGCTGGTTTCCGGTAATTCTCAGGTTTCTGGCTCAGCCTCCTGTTCTATTACCTTTCTGACCGGACATTCTCACTCAGAGCGGGCCCACCCAAATCCGCGGATTCAGTGGGTGGCTTGGCCTCTGTCAGTTCTAACCTCGAGGACGCAGCGAATTCCTGCAGCAGTTGCAGACACAATTCTGGCCGGTGAGGATTCGACAAGCGTTCAGTATGAGGATAGGTGGTCCGCTATGCGCTGGTGTTCAGATAGGGGATTGCAGATCCCTTTTCTGCGGATTTAGTCCGGTATTGGAGTTTTTGCAAGCTCGTTTGGAAGAAGGCCTGGCGGCCCGACCATTAAGTGGCTACTCCACCACTATTTCCACTTTTCACACCTGTCGATGGTGCTCTTCTGGGGCAGCACCCTCGTCTGGCGCTTTCTTGCTGGCGGAGCGGATTCGACCTGCTCTCAGGCGAACCAGTCCACCTTAAGGATTTGTCAATCGTGCTCGATTGGCTGTCGATCCAACTTTCTCACACCTATCGGCTATTTCCATTCAGTTGTTAACTTGGAAGGCTGTTTTCTGGTGGCGGTAACATCTGGGCGTAGGGTCGGCGATTTACATGCTATGTCGTCCGACCGGCTCTGACTGTGTTTCACACTGATCGTGTCAGCATTAAGCCTCCCAGATACCTTACAGCCGAAGGTCGATCCGCGCTTTCCATGTGACAGCTCTATCGAACTTCCCACTCTTACCCAGCCTTCCACATCGGGGACCACTCCTCTGAGCACTCACCCGTTGGATGTCCGTAAGGCGGCTCAAAGTCTATATCAAGCGAGCGCGGGGAATCCGTCACGGGTACCCAGCTGTTCTGTTATTCGGTGGCGGGAAGGCTGGTCTGCCAGCGAGCAAGCAGACTTTGTCTGGCTGGCTAGTTTCGTGTATTTGTGCGGCTTATCAGGCTAAGGGCAAGCCTCCCCTGAGGGGTTGAAGGCTCACTTTCGGTCAGGGCGTAGCGCATCAAAAGCTTTTGCATCGGCACTCCCCATTGAAGAGATCTGCTCTGCGGCTATTTGGAGCCGGCCAAAGCGCGTTTATCTGGCACTACCAGCTCGATACACATTCCCGTAATCGTGCGAGCTTTGGCCGTTCTGTTCTCTCCAGTGGACAGTGTCCTGCCACCCTGACCGAGTGAGTCTTGGTTTATTGGTTTGTTTATTGACGCTGCTGTACAATAATTGTGTATTATTGACATGTCTGCTACAGTGAGTTAAACTACCCCCTTTCGATTCTCTCAGGAGTAATTAGTCGATTGTGGCGGTATTGACATTCCCCCCTACGGTGCTCACTAATCGACACTGGGTGGGTGGGGTTTTGTTGACATTCGTACATGTGCGATTGCCTATGCTAAACGTATGGAGGTCGTCTTTGAGCACAAATCCTCCCTGTCAGTTCCCTTCCCATAATGCCTCTTGCGGAAGCGCAACTGGGACAAGTGACAGGTGAGTGTTATGGCGTCTGTTCAGTTTTTTTCCATGATACGATCGCTATATTTTGTGTGTGCTTGGACAGAATTCCCTCCTCCCTGACCTCCGGTCTTTGGGAGTCTGTGTTTATGCATAATATGTACCCCAAGGACGATCTCTATGAAGAAGAATTAACCAAACCTGAAGAGGTTTTCAATTCTTCGAGAGAGTCGTCCTTGGGGTAGGGCCTCCCGCCTCCCCACAATTCTGTTCACTGATATATTCAGCAGAAGGAATGATGATACGGGTCTAGGAGCTTACCCAGTTGGTGCGCATGCGCAACGGGAGGTAACTCTGTGAGGTAGGGGCCGTATAGTAAATAAAAGAGTTTATTTATTGTACAATCTTTTTATTCAAAAAACATTGATACAACTGTCACAGGACATTTTCAGCTTGGAAAATGCATAATATGTACCCCAAGGACGACTCTCTTCGAAGAATTGAAAACCTCTTCAGGTTTGGTTAAGTTTTGATGGCTACTGTAAGACAGAGATGTGATCCTGTGGTTTTGTTGGTGATGTGTATTTGTATTTTCTGTAAAATTGAACATCTCTGAGTGATCTGTTCCCTCAACTACTGTGTTCCCTGCCATTTCAGAGTGTGCCTGCCGACATTTGCATACACCCGTCAGTCTGTGTGTCTGCTGGAGAAGGTGTCGGTGTGTGTCAGCCGGAATGAACCGGTGCTGCTTGTTGGTGAGACGGGGACAGGCAAAACATCATCCGTCCAGTTCCTGGCTCATCAACTGGGTGAGTAGATCATTGCTACTTGTAACCATCAGGGAGTTTAGTTTAGCCTTGAACAGCAGCCATTATGCTCATGACACACTTCATGGAAGATTACCGTGGAATCCACTGGCATGGGTGTAGGGAAAAATCTGGGATTCACACTCTAGCAGCTGGTACTGACATGGTAGAGAGAGGCAGTGTCTGTGGACACCTAGCCACTATGCAGATTACAGGTAAGACATCTCCCAAGAAAACCAAGCTGGCTGTATGGAGACTTAATGGATCCAGTGATCAGGCTTTATGACCTGTCATCATAATCTAACGGCATGGACTGCACATAATATTCAGGTTCATCTATCCAGCTGGACTGACTCTGTCAGGATATAGCTTGAATATTGCTGCGGCATTATCAAATGAATTACATGTTCATTGGTGTGCCTCGTTCTTCTTGATGCTGATTTTCTGAAATCACCTGATATCCTTGATGCCAATAGGCTGAGTATGGTGATTTGGTTTTCAGGACACAGGCTGCACGTAATCAACCTAAACCAGCAGAGTGACAGCACAGACCTGCTGGGAGGGTAAGCTTGAACACATGTTAGGACTTCTATTGTACGTGCCGTCATACAAGATAAATGATTTAGGCTTTTGGATGGAGATCTTTAATTCTGTATTGTTTTAGTTGAATAGCTGACTGTTACCTGAACGTTAATCTATGTTGTTGATTTGTGTAGTGAGACAACAACTCAAACTTTGACTAAATGCAGACAGACAGTTTACGATAACAATCAACCGAGCTTGGTCTGATAGAGGATGCTTGGTATTTTCGCTGGAGAGAATTCTAAATAAGCTTTTTATACAAATGAATTGTTCCACCAATATCTGTACTTGAGTTGTGCTGACCATATATAATATGGCCTCGTATATGTTTGCAGGTTCAAGCCGGTTGATCTGAAGTTTGTCATCATGCCCTTCAGGGAGGACTTTGAGATGCTTTTCATGAAAACTTTCTCCAGGAAACAAAATACAAGGTTTCTGGGCCACATACAGGTTTGTAGTTGTGATAAAACTAAATTACATCGTATAAAGCTGAAAATATATAATTTCATGGTTTGGTTATTCAAAGTGTGAGTGCCTCTGTTGGCCTGTTAGATAGAGCACCTGCCAGTGAGTGGAAGGTTGGTGGTTCAGTCCCAGTGTTATACTTTAAAATATGGTATGTGTTGTTACCCAGCCTGGTTCTTGAAAATGAATGAGAAAACAATTGTGGGCTTGGAGTTAGTGTGCTATGTTTGATTGCTGTTTCCGTGTAAAAATTGTGGTATTGTTCACCTTATGGCAAATATTCCTTGCAAACTGAAAACTTTAGACATCGATGTTCAACAAGTACATGACAATGAAACTTTCCTAATAATATATTTATAATGGGTATGTACTAATGATATGTATTAGATGATTACACAGTTGTATCTTGTATCTGTCAACCTCCCTCTTCGTTTAACAATTTACAAGGATATCTGGGAGCACTGGGCAAGTTTGTGGTCTTTCAGCCCACTCATTTTTCATGTCACATGATTTGATCCAAGATGTCTGACAGTCAAAATGTACAATCAATAATGAACTATGGTAATCATATAATAAGGACGGTGGGGGTGGCCTAGTGGTTAAAGCTTTCACTCGTCACACCTACGACCCGAGGGTACAAATCCCACCTGGATACAATGGGTGAAGCCCATTTCTGGGGTCCCCCGTCTTGGTATTGCTGGAATATTGATAAAAGCAGCGTAAAACCGCTCACTCACTCATATAATAACATGAATGGTCCCTCTGAGTTCATTGTAGCAGTAATGTCTAGTATATCATGTGTCATTTCCTATGCCAGGATTGTTTCTCTCGGAGAAAGTGGGGTGACTTGCTGACACTGATGGACCACACTCAGAAGTCTGCTGCCAAGAAGTTTGGCAAGGGTAGGACTTTCTCTAAATATGTTCAACATGTGTGAGCTGTTTTTGACCCCCAAAGCACTAGTACACCTGTTTCAAGGCTACCTGTAAATACAAAAGTTGCAGCCACTGCACAAGGGCTCTGTGTCTGTGGGAGTTTACAGTTCATTATGTGTGCTGTAATCTGATAGGTCACAAAGCTTTAAGTGAAGCTTAGAAAATGTCAAGATGGGAATTTGAAGATGAGGCTGTATGCTTTACAGAGTTGTCTCCCTTTTCCAGGACCAGCTTGTGGTGGGCGTTAGTCACAAAGGCACCTTGTTCATATGTATACATGGCAGGGCCATGGGATTGAGGGATTTGTTCATCTGATTCCCCTCTTGGGTGCAGTCTGTGAAGCTCAGATCCAGTGTCTGTAGGTGTAATATTGTTGGAATATTACAAAGTAGGGCAAAACACCATGCTTGTGAATGTGTGTTCCTAAAGTAACTACCTGTTCCACCTTTTGTTTGATTGCTACATTCATCTGACACATCTGTAACAGAAATACTGCTGTAAGTGGTATGTTGAGTCTAACTCCCTGGAAATGTTGTTGTCAAGTTGTGGTGGTTTGTGACAGGTACAGAGCATCACCGAGAGTGGAAGAAGATTGGCCGGCGTCTGCATCAGCTCAAGGTTCAGGTGCAGCAGATAGAGAATGCCCTTGCCTTCTCCTTCATTGAGGTATGTTATCTACTCCATCAATAGTGTGGTTGTTTAACTAAACCAGATTTTGTGTCTGTTGTGCCTACTATTGGTTGTTCTTTTTTAAGGGAACCTTGGTGAAAGCATTGCGTGCTGGAGACTGGGTTCTGCTGGATGAGATCAACCTTGCTGCTGCCGAGACACTGGAGTGTCTCAGTGGTCTGTTGGAGAGTACCTCGGGGTCGGTGGTGCTTACAGAGAGGGGGTGAGTGTCTCTATGGGTTGCTGGAGAGTACCTCAGGGTCAGTGGTGCTTACAGAGGGAGGGTGAGTGCTCTATGGGTTGCTGGAGAGTACCTCAGGGTTGATGGTGCTTACAGAGAGAGAGTGAGTGTCTCTATGGGTTGCTGGAGAGTACCTCGGGGTCAGTGGTGTTTACAGAGGGAGGGTGAGTGTCTCTATGGGTTGCTGGAGAGTACCTCGGGGTCGATGGTGCTTTGGGGTCAGTGGTGCTTACAGAGGGGAGTGAGTGTCTCTATGGGTTGCTAGGTTGGTGAGATGTACCTCGGGGTCAGTGGTGCTTACAGAGAGGGGGTGAGTGTCTCTATGGGTTGCTGGAGAGTACCTCGAGGTCGGTGGTGCTTCCAGAGAGGGGGTGAGTGTCTCTATGGGTTGCTAGAGAGTACCTCGGGGTCAGTGGTGCTTACAGAGAGAGGGTGAGTGTCTCTATGGGTTGCTGGAGAGTACCTCGAGGTCGTTGGTGCTTCCAGAGAGGGGGTGAGTGTCTCTATGGGTTGCTAGAGAGTACCTCAGGGTCAGGGTGGTGCTTCCAGAGAGGGGGTGAGTGTCTCTATGGGTTGCTAGAGAGTACCTCAGGGTCAGTGGTGCTTGCAGAGAGAGGATGAGTGTCTCTATGGGTTGCTGGAGAGTACCTCGAGGTCGTTGGTGCTCACTGGGAATGGAGGGTCTCTGTGGTCTGCTGGAGGGTAGCTCTGGATCAGTGGTGCTCACTTGGAGGGGAGGGTGTCAATGCTCTGCTAGAGGGTAGCTCTGGGTCAGTGGTGCTCACTTGGAGGGGAGGGTCTCCATGTTCCTCTGGAAGGTAGCTCTGGATCAGTGGTGCTCACTTAGAGGGGAGGGTGTCAATGCTCTGCTAGAGGGTAGCTCTGGGTCAGTGGTGCTCACTTGGAGGGGAGGGTCTCCATGTTCCTCTGGAAGGTAGCTCTGGGTCAGTGGTGCTCACTGGGAGGGGTGGGTCTCAGTGGTCTGCTGGAGTGTTCTCATCAGTTTTGGATGACTACTTATATTTAAAAAAAACAACGTACTGTATTAGGCCAACATTAAATATTTCAGCGATGTGGACCCCGTTGTCCGTCACCGTGAGTTCCGTCTCTTCGCCTGCATGAACCCGGCTACTGATGTTGGAAAGAAGGACCTCACTCCTGGCATCAGAAACAGGTGGGTGAGATGAGTAGTTCCCCTTGGCATCATGCCTTACAGACGTGAAACAAATACATAAACTTGCATATTTGACATGAGATCCAGACGTTCCTGGCATGTTGCATGTAATCTGGCTTGAATTGTGTGTTCAAATCCAGATTAGCCCAGTTTTTTGGTATGTGACCACCATACACATGCTTCATCAAAGTAATAATGTCTAATACCTGCTTCACTCCCTGTCAGTGGGACATACCTTTGTTAAAACCAACTGTTTCACCCAAGAAGAATCTTCAAACTAAGTGTTCATGTATGGCTGTCTAGCTGAGTAAATAATAGATAGAAAGGTTTGAACATACTCTAGATGTGTTACATTGAATGATGTACACTTTAATGGGATTTGATTTTGGAAAGCAGCTGGTCTGGAGCAGAATATGTCCCCATGACCAGATGCTTGTATTAGGAACCAACTGATGCAGATCTGATGTTCAGAATGTGTATCTGGGCCCACACATGGTCATTGCTGATGCTACCACCTATTGCCCTGCCTGACTTGGTCATACATAGGCAGATATGATGCTCTTGAAATATTGCTTCATGGCATAAAATAACACTCACTCACTGACTGTCTCTAACCCTCCCCAGGTTCACGGAGCTCTACGTGGATGAGCTGGAGGACACACAGGACCTGAAGATTCTGACCAATGACTATCTCCGTGGTTTGTCGCTGTCCTCCTCACAGGTCGACGGGATTGTCAAGTTCTACCTCACTGTGCGCAATGAGGCGAATAAACCTGATTTCAGGTAACAACCAGAAATATTTACAAACGACTTACTGATGGCACTGGGCATAAACCTCATTTCAGGTAACAACCAGAAGTATTTACATAATTACATATTTGGAATCGGTACATTGTAGTGAGAATATATCAGGTTGTATTTTCTGTTTAATATGTTGCTGTTGTTAATAGGTGGGGACATTCATGATTTTGCTTCTGGTATTATGACATAGCCTGGTGATGTTATGACATAGCCTGGTGATGTTATGACATAGCCTGGTGATGTTATGACATAGCCTGGTGATGTTATGACATAGCCTGGTGATGTTATGGCATAGCCTGGTGATGTTATGACATAGCCTGGTGATGTTATGACATAGCCTGGTGATGTTATGGCATAGCCTGGTGATGTTATGACATAGCCTGGTGATGTTATGGCATAGCCTGGTGATGTTATGACATAGCTTGGTGATGTTATGGCATAGCCTGGTGATGTTATGGCATATCCTGGTGATGTTATGGCATATCCTGGTGATGTTATACCATAGATTTGTGATGTTATTGCATGGCTTGATGTTGTTATTACATATCTGAATGGTATGAAAATAAAACAGCTTGGTGATGTTATTAGATAGCTTGTGATGTTATTACATAGCTGGGTGGTGTTATTAGATAGCTTGTGATGTTATTACATAGGTGGGTGGTGCTATTAGATAGCTTGTGATGTTATTACATAGCTTGGTGGTGTTATCAGATAGCTTGTGATGTTATTACATAGCTTGGTAACTTATGGAAGTCTGATTTGGTCTTGAATTTCAGTTTGCGAACCCTGTGCCGGGCCCTGAAGTTCGCCTCCAGTAACCCGTGTGGCCTTGTAGCACGATCTCTGTATGAGGTATGAGATGCGGGCAAGCTATAACATGACCCTCTTTCTTTTTCCTGTTCCATTAAGTAAATGCATTTTGGACTGGCCAGCTAAGATACTGTCTTGCATTTCATATTATACTCAAAAGAAGTTTTTATCCTCCGCAACAACGAAGTTGCAGGGGGTATAGATACAAGTTCCGTGCGTCCACGCATACGTCACACTTTGTCCAAAGCATATTTCCTAAACTATTCGTGATAGCTTAACCAAACTTGGTACACATGTCAACCATGATCTCAAGATGTGACTTTTGGGGGTTAGACCCCGATGCAAATTTTTATTTTTTGCGGTTTCCATGGAAACATGACTTATGCTGTGACTATGAAGACGTCATCTTGTCCGGAGAAGATCTCCCAAACTATACATGCTAGCTTCATCAAACTGGGTACATATATCAAGCATGATCCCTAGATGTGCCTTTTGGGGGTTAGACCCAGATATGAACTTTATTTTTTGCGGTTTCCATGGTGTTACAGTTAAATAATTGCCGAGACAAAAGGTTTAAGAATCCCCTTTGAACCAGCAAAATATAACACAGACAAGTCTAAAATATTCAATAATATATTGAGCAAACAATGAGCAAGATACAATGAATCACAATACAGATTTCTAGTGCAATGCAATTGAGTCACAAATCTAATGTTTTGAGTCACAAATATAAAATATCAACTCACCATGAGCCTTGGTAATTACAGTGAGATCAGATATCCTAAATGAAGCTTGTTTACAAATGAGAGCAGTCAGGCACAAAGTGTCAGACAATGTTGACAGACAGACGACGGCAGGTGACGGCAGAAAGATGCACTCAACTCCAGTGATATGAAAAGTCACGTGTAATTCTGTGTTAGTCCGTGTGTGATTCCGCAACAAGCAGCCTTTATATATACTGGCACAGAGTCTTGAACATTCTTTATCCACTGAGAACATTCGTGAAACGTGGAACATACGACCAGGAGTCAAAACATAATAAAGCCAAGGGAGGCAACTCTGGAGTGCTGTCCCAAAAGGCGTGCCGCTAAAATAGCTATATATATTGAACATATATGATGCGAAATGCGACCCACAACCCACACTCAAAACTTTAAACATTGTGACTCATGATAACTATCACCTAACCAATGTTATTACAAATTACAAAAAAAACACTCTCGTAACAATGGAAACGTGACTTAGGTTGTGGCTATGAGGATGTCATCTTTGTCTTGTCTTCTAATTTCTAAACTATACATGCTAGCTTCATCAAGCTTGGTACACATATCAAGCATGATCCCTAGATGTGCCTTTTGGGGGTTAGACCCAGATAATAATTTTTGTGGTTTCCATGGAAACATGACTTAGGCTGTGACTATGAGGATGTCATCTTGTTGCATTTCCATGGCAACAAGTTAGGCTTCAACAGAATTTGGTGGTAGTGCTCCTTTCTGGAGCAGATCTTAAAAACCTTTCGATACTCTCCTTCCACTTAGCTGTATACACTCCAAAACATTTGACATAATCATATCTAGTAGACATATTCATAAAGAGTATTTTGCCATTGCGGGGGATATTAATGACTTTGTCTTCTTGTTGTCAACTGGTTCAGTGCTATTAACTCAGATCAAATGAATTAGAGACAATGCTGTGATGTTTGTTGTACCCTTTGTACGGTATGGACCTAGGAGCTCCTACACGTATATTGCCCCCAAAATGCTTGTGAAGGATAATAACTGAGGAGGTTTTTTTTCTAACTTAATGACTAAAAGAAAAGTTTGAAATATAATTCTTCTACAAATTTGTGTTTCAGGGTTTCTGCCTTAGTTTCCTGACCCAGCTGGACCGGTCGTCCCACCCCGTGGTGGAGAAGCTTGTGTGTCAGCATGTAGTAGGGAAGGCCAACATCAAGGCTATTCTCAAACAGCCGCTGCCACAGCCCCACGGTGCCAAACACCTCAAGTTCGAGGGTTACTGGATATCCCAGGGTGCACTGGAGCCTCATGTGCCAGACAATTACATTCTCACACCATCAGTCAGAGAAAACTTGCGAGATTTGGCCCGAGTTATCTCAGCTAGGTAAGAATTGGTGATAATAGAAATTATTAACAACATTGTTCTATAGTACTAAAAATGTTAACAAGTGTAATTTGTCATTATAATTACCACGGCTCCAGATAAGGGCCGTATTGGCGTATGTACGGATAAAAAATATGCACGATACGGTAGGAAGTAATTTAGAAAACGTAGCACATACGCACCACAGCAATGCTGTACGGTCATGGAATCATTTACAGACGTATTTATCTGAAAGAGTGTCGTTTATTGTTTATTGACCTGTTTACACAAGAGTAGTAATGTTGTGGTGCATATATGAAACGAAACACAAGATTACTGATACGCCATTAAATTCCATTCAGTACTCAAAATGTACTCTTAAGTTTATCCAGTACTCCTATATTGAAAATATAAGGAGGACGTACTCCTGATGTTGAAAAATTATCTGGAGCCCTGAATTACCATTAAGCATTATCCATCTTCTTCAGTAACTCATGCTTGTAACAGGAGACAAACAGGATTGAGTGGCCAGGGTGACTGACTTCGATGATGCATTTTATGATATGCCTGTTTGGTAGATTGTTGCTCATGATGTCAATCACTGGATTGTCTGGGCCAGATTCAGTTATGACCTGACCATCATCATTTAAGTCAAGCATTGCCGAATGAGAGGTTAAACTACTACACATGGTGCCGTCTGCTTGTCTCCGCAGCCAGCACCCAGTGCTGCTACAGGGTGAGACGTCGGTGGGGAAGACGAGTCTGATCACGTGGTTGGCACAGTCCAGTGGGAACCAGTGTGTGAGAGTCAACAACCATGAACACACGGACCTGCAGGAGTACGTTGGCTGTTACGCAGCAGATGAGTCTGGCAAACTTGTCTTCAAGGAAGGTGAGGTTCTGTTCGGTATTGTCATGATCCTAGATCTATCTCACAACAATCATGGCCACTTAACTCTCCCTAATGTCTTAATTGTGGATGCAGTGCTGGCAGATATTGTTGCTTGAGCAGTTCTCAAGCATAAATTAGTATGCAAATTTCAACTGTGAGCTTATTAGCTGCAACTGTTGTTAAAAGAAAGAGAAACATTCTGTTACTTGTTGAGGGCATCACTTGCCCATATTGTCCCCACAATAGGCCCCAGTATCTCATGCTTGTTGTAAGAGTTGTCTAAAGAGGGCCGAGTGGTCTGACTTGGAGACTTGGCTGAATGTCTTTGTACACCCTTTGTTTTGTCTGTTGGTGAGCAGTGTCTTTGTCACTTGTTAGTGTTGGTGACAAAGTTTCTCAGTTGTTATCTGTTGGTGAGTTTAGTCAGTTGTTATCTGATGGTGAGTAGTTTTGGTGAGTTTAGTCAGTTGTTATCTGTTGGTTTATGAGTTTAGTCAGTTGTTATCTGTTGGTGAGTTTAGTCAGTTTTTATCTGTTGGTGAGTGTTATTGTTGAGGGTTATCTCTTTGTGACTGTTGCTTCTTAATATTTGTTGTCGATTTCTGTTGGGGACAGTTAGTGACTGCTGTTGCCTGTTGTTGATTGTTGTCTGGTGGGGTCTGTTGTCTTTTTTTTATGGTGAGTGTTACTGTCTGTTGTCTGGTGGTCAGTAGTATTGCCTACTGGTATCTGTCAGTGACAACCGTTTTCTGTGTCAGGTGTCCTGGTGGAGGCGATGAGACAGGGACATTGGATCATCCTCGACGAGCTGAACCTGGCCCCAACTGACGTCCTAGAGGCCCTCAACAGGGTGAGTGCATAGCGGCAGTTGCCATATTCCTTCCCATGTTCATTGGTTAATGTCAGTGTTTATTTATGTCACTACTGGTGGCTATGAATTGTCTCATTTTAAAAGTCTCCAGGATTTACAGTGACGACTGCATCTCTGACTGTCAACAGATCATAAAAGTCTGATTACAAATACTATTTCTTGGTGTTGAAAATTAAATTTGAGTGATTATTGCAGATTGAAAACAAAAGCTGTCTTGTTAGGTCAAACCAGACAGACTGCAGGAGTGTCTTGTGATAACATTCTGCTGTTGTGTTTTCCAAGAAGTTCTGTAGGTGATGTAACACTTTCAATGTTGATTCTTCCCCAGCTGTTGGATGACAACCGAGAACTGTTTATAGCGGAGACCCAGGAGACGGTGAAGGCTCACCCCAAGTTCATGCTGTTCGCTACCCAGAATCCTCCAGGAATGTATGGAGGCAGGAAGGTACGACATGTACAGGATCTGTAACACGTGTTTGTAGCTTGACAGATTTTACTCTCATCTTAACCATTCCAAATGATTTTCTGACATCTGTAGGAATAATGTTTGTAGATGGACTTATGTTAATGTGAGCATACCAATAACAAGATAATGTTTTCTAGATGCTGTCTCGAGCCTTCAGGAATCGTTTCATTGAGCTACACTTCAACGAAATACCAAGCATTGAACTGGAGACGATTCTCCATCAGCGCTGCAGCATCCCACTGTCCTACGACAAACGACTTGTCAAGGTCATGCTGGAGCTTCAGGTAAGACGGCCAGATAAACTAACGGGATTGAATAGATACATTAGTCATTTGCAACTATTGAACTCTGGTCTCACTGCTCGGTAGACATGACTTCTCAGATCGTAAGATCTACCTATTTTGTTCTTATATTTTTTATGAAAGGATCTCAAACTGTGTTAGTTTGGTTTTATGTTCTCAATTCTTTAACATGGCCATGTTGACCATCTGCTTCAGATGAGGCGGCGTGGATCAGGGGTGTTTGCAGGAAAGCAGGGCTTCATGACGTTGAGGGATCTGTTCCGGTGGGCAGAGAGGTACAGCAGTACTGATGTCAAGACAAGTGCCAAGTTCTACGACTGGGACCAGCACCTTGCTGATCATGGTATGACAGTAGCGGCTTTCTCAAATATCAGTTGATGGAAACAATGTAGGAACTAATCTTTGATTTCTGATCATACTGTGTAGATTCTGATAGAGAAATATTGTTGTTTACTGTATGTCTGTCATTAGTACCTAAAACTTGAGGAGAAGATCAATGGGTCCCAGTCCTGATGACTATGAAGTCTACATTTATCAGTAACCTAGTAACAGGGGAGAGCATCGCTGAGCAGTTTCAACAGAAAGGGAGATAAAAGTGTATTGTTCACAATTCCATGTAATTATTTCATTTTCAGGTTGGTATTGACTTAAGAAAAGTGATGAAAGCTGAATATCGAATAAGGATTTCAATATTATACTTTTCTAACATCTAAGTTTCAATAAATTGTCACTCACTGATTTGAAGTTTGTGTAGACCAGTGGTCGAACTGTATGATGTAAATGTCCTCTACATGTCCTCTACATGTCCCCTAGGCCATTTCTTCATCAGATCACACATGTTAATGTCACCTACATCAATTTGAGGAGTGTACATCTAGCCGTCCTGTACATGCCTACATTAGGTCACTGCTCACTCATGTCATATGCTGCCCTGTGCATGTTCTGTAGGCTACATGTTGCTGGCTGGCCGTGTGAGGAAGGCGGACGAGTCTGTTGTTATTCAAGAGGTCCTCAAGAAGCATCTGAAGCGGGATGTCAATTCCAGCCTGCTGTTTGACTTGACTGGCAAGACGTCCACATCAACAGCCCCCTTGTTGAAGGAGGTCACTGACCAATCAGTGGAGGGCTTTCAACACATAGTGTGGACACACAATATGAGAAGACTGGCTGTTCTCATTGGCCAGGCCATCAAGTTCAGGGAGCCTGTCCTGCTGGTCGGAGAAACTGGGTGAGTGTTTCTGTTTGTCTTGTTATAGAGGTTCAAGCATAAACACCAGTGTGGACACTGCAGAAATCCTGCTTGTTTCATCATAAACACACAGACACAGTTGACAACAGTACAAAACCAGTGACATCAGTCAGCGCAAATGTGCAACAAAAGCCCTTGCACTTCTGCTTTCAGCCAACCAGAAACAGTTGTTTATTAGTAGGTCATGGCTTTACTGTTCTTCAATTCACTGAGACAAAATCACAACTTATATAGTCTAACTTCTTTGAGTGGCATTTTAGAAGTTGGGAAGTACAATATAGAACAAACTTTATGGATAATAACTTCTTTTTATTCGTGAGTACCGTTGTCAAGCATAATGGAACATGAAGAAGGGGGAAGTGTATATATACTGGATGTAACAATGTAACATGTAACAATGTTTGATGTGGATGGCTTCGGTGAGCTTGCGTTTAGTGAATATAATAGAGTGGTCTGACATCACCATTCTCTCTAACAAACAAACAGACTTCACTAAACGCAAGGTCACCGAAGCCATCCACATCAAACGCCAAAAGCCCACCATCAACCGAGACCAAGGATACTTCATTCCATCCGCTTATGATGCACTCATCCACCAAGCCCAATCTACTGTATAAACTCTGCTGTATAAACATCTCATTATTTGGACATCATTGGCTTCCACGCCTGTCCTTTGTCTACTCTCTGGCTTCATCAGCTTTCTGCCTAGCCAATTATGTTAATTATGTTGTTTTCTTTGTTACATTGTTACATTGTTACATCCAGTATATATACACTTCCCCCTTCTTCATGTTCTATTACGTTGACAACGGTACAAGAATGTGTATCGAAACGTCGCACTCATGAATAAAAAAGAAGTTGTTATCCATAAAGTTTGTTCTATATTATATAGTCTATCAAATTCCATGGAATCACATGTCCTGAAACCATTGCTGTTTGTATGAGACAACTTACTCAGTAAGATGACTATTGTGTGAATGAAATGGTATAAAAGTATATCTGTGTTGTACTTGGTGCTTACTGGTTGACATGGTGCATATCTTGGCCTCGTTGAAATTTCCTGTTATGTATTTTGTACATATATCCTCCCCAGTTGTGGCAAGACGACAATATGTCAGTTGTATGCAGCCATGAGAGGGCGCCACCTGTACAGTGTTAACTGCCACCTCCACACAGAGAGTGCCGACTTCCTCGGGGGACTAAGGCCAGTTCGTTCTCATGCAGAACAGGTAGGTCATTATTTCTACAAAAGAGGACAGAAAGAATTATTTGTAATGTCTAAACATAAGACTCTGACAAACCCACAGATAATATTTTCACAGTTACTCAGAAAACATTGTTTGAGTTGCTCAGTCTCACAGGCTAACTCCCATAGCTGCTGTATTTGCCTCTCTTCTGACAGACATGTTTTTTCAGGTAGAGGTGACATGTTTTTTAATTGGTGTCTGTGGAGGCACAAGGCATTTCAGTTTGGAGGCTTTATCATTACCCTCTTCACTTCCCATACCTGGTGTCCCCTGCCATGATAGCTGGAATATTGCTACAAGCGGCGTAAAACCCTACTCACTCACTCACTCATCTCATTTGTATTCCAGGATGACCCGAAGGAGATGAAGCTGTTTGAGTGGTTGGATGGCCCGCTGGTGACGGCCATGAAGGAGGGCAGCATGTTCCTCATCGACGAGATTTCCCTGGCAGACGACTCGGTGCTGGAGCGGCTTAACAGTGTGTTGGAGCCAGAGCAGACGCTGCTGCTGGCGGAGAAGGGTGGCGGAGATGGGGGCAGCAACGTGGTGGAGCAAGTCAAGGCGGTAGCAGGATTCCAGGTGTTCGCAACCATGAATCCTGGTGGGGATTTCGGCAAGAAGGAGGTGAGGAAAAATCGTTCTATGTATTGGTAGGTAAAACAGATATGTCAGCCATAGGATTTGGGCAGCATGCTTGTGTTATTTGTATAAAAATTCACAAGTGTAGTGATATAGATTTCACTATGTATTTGAAGTATAGACAGCATTGATGTGACAATGTATGGTACCATCATACCACATACCACATACCTCATGTTTGCTGTAAGAGATCTAAAACGAGACCTTATAGGAACCACATTCTTCAGTAATCTGCATTAAAGTCCAATCTTACATTGTTGTGTGAGATTTGCTGTAATATACTGCTGGTTTAGATCCAATGATTGCATATATAGAAATTTGCTGAAGGAGTTGAACTTCTGAGAAATCGCAAGTATTTGTGTTTAAATCATCTTGGCAAGTTAAGGCATGAAACTTTCTGTGGACAATTCGTTATTGCTTGCAGCAATAGTTATTCTGGCCACTTCATTGATTGCATTCTGTGAAGTTCATCCATATAAATTCCATGACCTAATGTTCTTCCAGCTATTACCTATCAAAGAATTAACAACAAAATATGTGTGTCCTAACAAACATTACCGGCAAATCAATGACTCTTCACCTTGGATGACCCTGGCTTGTTGCAGCTGTCTCCGGCACTACGGAACAGGTTCACTGAGATCTGGTGTCCACCCTCGTGTCAGAGGGACGACCTTGAGGAGATCATTGAACACAACATCCGTGACGGCCTTGTTCTGGGCAACCAACAGGATGGCACCACTGGGTTTGGAGCGGCCATATTAGATTTCATTGAGTGGTTCTCAAATAATGAAATTGGAAAGAAGTAAGTACCACTGTCGTATTGGTGTGAACCATGGAAATGTAGTTGGTTTAGGTGGCAGTATGTTGAGATGAAGAGAAGTATATCGAATGAAAGATTTTATAACATTCATAAGATTTATCATCCAAAACTAGCTTCCAAAGAAGATATCACTTCAATGGTGTCAAGAGATATCTCCAAGGAGATAGGGCTACAGTGCAATTCCATCATTGTGCTTTTCAGAACTTTATGATATCTTCAGTTGTCCTACTGTGATTTCCCAGTCCAATGACTAACCTTGAACTAAATGTATTTTGATGAAGACTGAAAAGATATACTGGGATATAAATACTTGTGACCATATGACGATGATGTCAGTGTTGGATGCTTGTTGGACTCTGTGTTTCGCGTTTTGTGTAAAAAAAGTAATATTTTTAAGTCCATATGCTAATTTGGAGTCAAACTAAAGCCCTTTTTGGAACAAGATGTCCAATAGAAGGTCATACAAAACTGACACACCAGTTTTTGAAACAGAATGATTCAGTATTGATATCAACTTAGACTATTTGGTATGCAGTTTTCACTGGACATGTCTGCTGAATACGGGACCGTTAACCCTCAAAATGTCTGGTCGCAGTCAAACTTTACCAGTCAGTATCTTGTATAAACTAGAGAACAGAAACATGGGAGCTGGCCAGGAGTTACTGACTTCAAAACATAGATGTGTGTGTTTCCATGGTTACTAACTCTTGCCAGTTTTGCCTTGCATCATGCAACAGGTCCACATTACATACACAAGAAAAGACTTTGCACGTTACATTTGTGTTAAAACAATGTCAACATTATTCTCTGTTGTTGTTATGACGTCTTTCTACACCTTCTCAGGTGTACAGTGAGTATTCGAGACATCCTGTCCTGGGTCAACTTCATCAACACCTGTGCCACACCTGATTTTGGGGATGTTTCTATGGAAACCTCAGAAAGTGGCCTTGACCCTGTGAGGGCATACATCCACGGAGCTTGTCTTGTTTTTCTGGACAGTCTAGGAAGTGGTAAGTGGTCATTTACTCTTAGGCTGTATCAGATTAACAACACATAATTATCGCAATATTGTCAGTGGAATATTTCAGGTTTACGTGTTTGGCTCAGGCGTATTTAACCTCTATTTAGACTCATTAAGATCCAGGGTAGAATTGGTCTTCAGTAGCGCATGTTTGTCATTAGAGGCTTACTAATGGGATCGGGTGGTCAGACTCCTGACTTGACTTGGTTGACATGTGTCATGCTGTTGATCCCAATTGTCTGGTCCAGACTTGATTCGATGCTCATGCTGTTGATCACTGGATTGTCTGGTCCAGACTTGTTTATTTACAGACTGTCGCCATATAGATGGAATATTGCTGAGTGCGGCGTAAAACTAAACTCACTCACTCACTAATCTGATAGGGAATCAACAGACCTACAGCATGATAACTAGCTTCCTGCAGTACTTGTACAGTATGTTTTATGTTTATTATGAACTCGAATCATCTGAACCTTGTGGCTGTTCTTTGACCCTTCTCATTATCGTAATCATATTGTTTCAAAATTGCTCAATGTAGTGCTCCCTGTTGCCTCACAGGTACTTCAAGTCACACGGCTGACTTCAGTGTAGAGGTAGCCCGTGACACATGCCTCCAGTATCTCGTCAAGCAGGTCAATTCTTTTGGTGGCCATGATTACAACATGGCTGACTTGCATCTGTGTCTCCAGAAAGAGGCTGCAGGGAAGATGGATGTTGTCAGCACGGATGATGTGTTCTCCATACCTCCCTTCAGCATTCCGAGAGGTATTTACATCACCTGTCTTGTGAATGTTTTACTTAGTGATTCTGTAATCTGTCTGATATCAACGAACATACATCCTTGCATGATTCAGCTTTGTCTTGATTACTAAAGCTGCAATGCATACACTATGAGATGAATTTGGTGTGTAGTGTACAGTAATGAATACAAATATTTATTCATGATTACTTAATGCTTGTCGTAAGAGGCGACTAACAGGATCGGGTGGTCAGGCTCGCTGACTTGGTTGACACATGTCATCGGTTCCCAATTGCGCAGATCGATGCTCATGATGTTGATCACTGGATTGTCTGGTCCAGACTCGATTATTTACAGACTGCCGTCATATAGCTGGGATATTGCTGAGTGCGGCGTAAAACTAAACTCACTCATGTCATGTAATTTCTTAGATGGGAACATTTCAATGAGATTTTCTGTAATGCCCAAAAGCAGTACCAATAGCGGGACCAATAGCCTCCTGACATAAGTTATGCTGCTGCATGGCTGAAGACAGTCCATTTTGCATGTCTCACTTAGATAAACAACAAACAAATTGCAAGTAAAAAGCACTCTCTTAAGACTATTTTGTAAATATCCAGTTCTAGTAAACATCGAATAATGAATTAAATTGATGAAGGAATATGGTTCAATTCACCTAATACATCATAACAGGACCAATGATTATACCACAGTAATAAGGCAGATTGAATGCTTGTGTTTTCTGTCAGGTGACCTTCACCCTGAGTCCAGCACCAAGTATGCCCTGCAGGCACCAACCACCTGCATGAATGCACAGCGGGTTCTGAGGGCACTGCAGTTGCCACGCCCACTGCTTCTGGAGGGGTCACCAGGGGTCGGGAAGACCAGTCTCGTCACCGCAATAGCTCGGTCAGCCGGGCGTGAACTTGTACGCATCAATCTGTCCGAGCAGACGGTGAGTTTCAACATGACTTCATATAGGCCCCATAGGTAGCCCAAACAATGGGCCACCAGTTTTTGTAGAAAAGTAGGTGTATTAAGTAAAACAAAGGATTAGTTGATCACACTTTGTGCCCTCGTTTTTTTACCTCACATCCCAATAATTTGTATCATAAGCAGCCAGGATTGTTTCTTCAGAACATCAATCACTGGATCACTGTTCCATTGTTTAAAGTTTTCAAACCAAGAATCTATAAAACGGTAATCTTTTCCCTGCTCATTGTCTATTGATGCTCCAAGACCAACATGGATGCCTTATGTTGCAGGATGTGACAGGACTTGTTTGGTGCTGACCTGCCTGTGGAGGGTGCAGAAGGGGGGAGGTTTGCATGGAGGGATGGCCCCCTCCTGCAGGCACTGAAGGCGGGTCATTGGGTTGTCCTTGATGAGGTGAGAAGGTCATGTATGTTAACATTAATGTTTACTTAGCAAGTTATGACTGGCTTGACATTAACATGTTTGGTGACTAGATTTTTGATTGTTCAACTGGTCTTAACATGATCTGAGAATGCTTTTGAGTGATCATGAAGATTCACACTCTGTGCTGAAACATGTTCTGGCTAGAGACTTTTGTACCCATATTAATAGATACCATCACACAGTTAGCTGTTTTGATCAAGGAAGTGACATTGAGATTAGGTATAGAAGGATTTGAGGCTGTCGTTGGGTGTTTCAGTTGAACCTGGCCTCCCAGTCCGTGTTGGAGGGGCTTAACGCCTGTCTGGACCACAGAGCCGAGGTGTTCATCCCGGAACTCGGCAAGACTTTCACCATTCAACACGAGCAGACGCGACTGTTTGCCTGTCAGAACCCACTCAGCCAGGGCGGAGGACGGAAGGGGCTGCCTCGCTCATTCCTCAACAGGTTCACTCAGGTGAGTGTTTGGATTCATGTCACATGTCATCTTTGTTGTGAAGCCTTGTTACAGTATGTCTTTGTTTCTATCCATAGTAAACCTGTCTGTCACAGATAAGAGACTATATATATGTTCATAAAAACATCCTACTTGCTCAAGGGCCCAAGGCCAAGTAAATGTAGAAACTCTATTTGCCCAGTCTGATTTTCAACTTGCCTTGCAAAATCAGAGAAAAGATAAAATATTTTACTTGAAACGAAGCATTATGTCATTGAGCCAGGTAGTTACAAATTACTTTCAGTGCACACAATCTATCTTTTATGTTTCAACTGATTATTTTCATACTTGCTCAACACTTCGGGCAAGTCGGGTTTGGAAATCCCGCTCCCCTATCTTGTTGGTTAATTGTCTGTAACAGGTGTATATCTGGTTGTGTGGTGTATGTTACAGGTGTATATCTGGTTGTGTGGTGTATGTTACAGGTGTATATCTGGTTGTGTGGTGTTTGTTACAGGTGTATATCAGGTTGTGTGGTGTATGTTACAGGTGTATATCTGGTTGTGTGGTGTATGTTACAGGTGTATATCTGGTTGTGTGGTGTATGTTACAGGTATACATAGAGCCTCTATCGAGAGGGGATCTGTTGTTTATTACCACGGCCATGTTCCCCGTCATCCCAGAGGAAATCTTGGCAGCCATGGTGGACTTCAACATGGAGGTAAGTTGAAGCACACTGTTGGTGCTACTAATTTACTAGTCCCCCCATCTCCCCCCTAAAATTATGTCACATTGTTTTATGAACTTTAAGGTGGTGCTGGATTCTAAATGTAGGCCATTGAATGGTATTAAACTAATGTGTCAACTTTAAATGCATTTGAAGTATTTCTAGGTTAGAATGTTCCTTCAGTAACCCATGCTTGTCGTAAGCGGCTAATGGGATCACGTGGTCAGGCTCGCTGGCTTGGTTGACTCATGTCATCAGTTCCCAATTACGCAGATCGATGCTCATGCTGTTGATCACTAGATTGTCGGTTTAGACTCAATTATTTACAGACCGCCACCATATAGCTGGAATATTGCTGAGTAAACTAAACTCACTGAAAAGTTGAAGTTTAATGTATGATTTGGAATGATAAATGGAATCTCACCCTCATATCTCTTATGTATTAAAAATATTGGCAAGCTGCATAATTATAAGCCTGTTTTTATGAATGTTGAAGACACTTGGGTGGGATATTCTGTTAACTAGAGTAACTTTATGAGCTCTTTGTCATCTTCCTAAGTGCCACACATCTCTTCCAATGGTGATATGGTATATAAGGGTACAGGCTGTTGCTCTGATAGGTCACTATGAATTTCAGATATTTAAATGTTTTCTTTGTTATTCTTATTAACTCTTTAAAAGTATATTGATTTTAGTTCTTTGTGGATATTAATACTGAGATGTCTGTTTTTTGTGCTGTGATTCCAGCTCCACAACCAGACAATGAAACAGGGTTGGTGGGGACACCGTGGAGGACCCTGGGAGTTCAATCTGCGGGACTTGTTCCGCTGGTGTGAGTTGCTGCTGGCCAATCAGGTGTCCGGAGACTTCCACTCAGGAGAATATGTGAGGCTGGTCTACACTGATCGGATGAGGACATTGGCAGACAAGGCAAAGGTAGATAACTGCTAGGGGAAAACTGATTTGGATCAGCATACTTTCACTACATGAACACTTATTTTTCTGCTTTTGAATATTCTTAAACAAGATTACACAAATTTCCTTCTCAGAAACTGAGTATGCTAATCTGAGATAGGCTTTTAGTGATGAGTGAGTGAGTTTAGTTTTACGCCGCAATATTCCAGCTATATGGCAGCGGTCTGTAAATAATCGAGTCTGGGCCAGACAATCCCGTGATCAACAGCATGAGCATCGATCTGCGCAATTGGGAACAGATGACATGTGTCAACCAATTTAGCGAGTCTGACCACCCGATCCCTTAAGTCGCCTCTTACGACAAGCATGGGTTACTGAAGGCTCATTCTAACCCGTCATCTTTTAGTGATGACTTATGACGATTGATTTTCCTTTACAACTGGGTGTGGTTGGGTAGCCTAGTGGTTAAAGCCTTTTGCTGATGACGCTGAAGACACGGTTTCAATTCCCCCACATGGATACAATGTGTGAAGCCCATTTCTGATGTCCCCTGCCATGATATTGCTGGAATATTGCTAAAAGCGGCGTAAAAGTAAACTCGCTCACTCACTCTTTACAACTGAAAATCAAAGTTTGGATGAGAACATGGTATCTTGGATTTTAGACGCATGGTTGACCAGGAAATCCTGACAGAATCTGTCTTCTCACACTGTCATGGTTTGTTGGTGCCAGGCTTGATATCGTGGCTTCAGGAGATAATCCCATTTCTGGATTTTCTCACACAATCATTTGCTGTTTGTGATAAAGGTGTGAAATGATGTACAAACTTTGAACTATATCTGACACTGAAGACGTTTCAGGTGGTTGAAGCATTCATAATATATCAGTAAGATGTGACACTCCTCTTGACTAGTTTCCTTCATAGTTGTTTGTCATCTATCATTGTATGGAGGAATTTCTATAACATTCTAGCTAGGTAATAACATAATAACTTCAAGACAAATATTATTTACTTCCACAAAGATAGGAATAGAGTAACTGGACATTAAGTGTGGATGCAGTTTTCAGGAAGAGTGTGTGCACTTAAAATGAAAAAAAAAAAAAGAAGAAATGGGAAAGAATGTAGTTTGTTTTGCACAAATGAGTCAGTTTGTTGTAATTTTTGTAGGAAATGTGTCAATAAATGAGTTAGTTTATATATTTATAACTTATGCTTTGGAAAGGGGGTTTGGGAGAACTTGCTGACCCATATCCCCCCCCCACTCTATCTACATTTGGGAAATCTTTACAGACCTACATGTGCAAGCTTACATACACACAGATATTTAAATAGTGCTCTATGCTATGTAGGAGTGAGTGAGTGAGTTTAGTTTTACGTCACACTCAGTGATATTCCAGTTATATGGTAGTCTGTAAATAATTGTGTCAGGACCAGACAATCCAGTGATCAACAGTATGAGCATCGATCTACACAATTGGGATACGATGACATGTGTCAACCAAGTCAGCGAGTATGACCACCAGATCCCGTTAGTCGCCTCTTACAACAAGCATGGGTTACTGAAGATCAATTCTAACCCAGATCTTCATGGGTAGCTATGTTGGATGTTGTCATAACATTATGTGTAGCTTTAGATAACTTGTTTTTTGAAGTGTGAACATGACTACCTGCATTGATGTTTGACCCCAGGTGTCTCAAGTGTACAGGACCCACTTCTCTGGCCTGAACATGAAGGGTGTGTATGCTGGTTCCCGCTACGTGGGTGTTGGTGTAGGACACGTCCAGATAGGCCACGCCTTCCTGACGAGGTCAGCATGTGACCCCACATCCAGCAGACAGGTGGCGCTACAGGTGTTGCACCATCACCTTGAGCCGCTAGAGTCCCTCGCCAAGTGTGTCGACATGAACTGGATGGCTATTCTGGTGAGTTCTCGCATATTCAGTCTTTTTGATAGGTTTAGTATTTTTCAGCCATTGTGATTTTATGCTTCTTTGTATTCTTTTCCATGCTGGCATTAGTACATATTGATACCTACCATTCTGTATAACACGGATATAGCTTGATAGTCAATGTCGGAGACCTGCTTCACTGCAGGCATTGCTCACGCATCCAGCTGTCATACAGTGAAATAACTCGAACAATGTTAAAAGCAACGAAAAAAGCGAAAACCCAACTCACACACTCACTGAACAAAGATGGCTACTTTGGTGTATACTACTGGTTTATAAGTAGGAACAAGCAGTCATATTTGTTGGGGGTAACAAGTGGCCCAGTGGTGTAATATTTTACTATGTGGACTTTCACCCTTTAGACAAATCAGAACCAGTTCATTGTTTCAATCCCAGGTTTATAGTAACTTAATAGCAATCCTTAATATGTCAACACCCATATCCTGATAGGCAAGAGATGTCATACCTAGCCCCATGTTCAACTCAACGTGTGTCTGTCTGTGTGTCAGGTTGGCCCCCAGTCATGTGGGAAGTCCAGCATGGTGCGTCTTCTGTCGGAGCTGACCGGCACCACCCTCCATGTCCTACCTATGAACAGTGCCATGGACACCACTGAGCTACTAGGAGGATTTGAACAGGTAGGCCCACCTTTCTGGGTATCCAGTTTGTATCAAGATTTATGCCACTTTCATGCCATAATGTCCATATCAATTTTTGAACTGTTCCTTCCCATGTACATCAAAGGATTTGTGGCCCATCAATGCTACATTTAGTTTACATACAAAAAATTGGAATTAAACAAAGGAAATACTGTAAACGTACTTATTTTCACGTGGTGCAATTTTCGCGGAATTGACAGTTTAGACTACATCGCGCGGTCAATTATTCGCGCAATCAGTAATTGCCGGAACTGCCAGCTGTCTCTTTGGCCGCCACTAATAGCAGTGAAAACAAACAGAGTGGCTTAACCTGTCAGGCGGCGTTTATTGCTTACTCACAGGAAATCCCTATCTGTGCGATATACTAGTACACAGTAATCCGTTTACTCACGGAAGAGATGAAAACACATCAGTCTTATGTTCAATTCCGACGATCTGACGAATTAACTTCTACTGTATATGAAGCTCTTTGTGATTTCAATCAAGCGGGTTGTTGTGAATGAGATGATTGAGTGTTAAGTGACTATTCGCTTCATGATGTACTGGTAAATAAAATCTTAATGAATAAATAAAATACTGCTGTATTATTTCTTTCCGAGTCGTTTCATGGTAATCTGTTTTGTATCAAACCATCTGTCATGTGACCAATTTCCATGGCGGCCACAACAAACATTGCTGTTTTCACTAATTCGGCGATGGGATTTGGCTCATTATTTAATTATGTTTTGGGAAATCCATTACAGCGACAGTTAAGTATGATTCTTTATGCTACTATCAGTCGTCATTTTAAGATTCCCATAGATTTCTGTCTTCAAACTTGATGTGTTATGGTAACAACTCAGGGGCGAGCGTGGCTAGACTGAATGAATGACAGGTTTATTCGCGGTGTATAAATTTTCGCGCTGAAATGTTTTGCGCGAAAAGGCCGAAAATAAAACCTGCGCGAAATATAATACGTTTACAGTACTGTTCCCACTCTGATAAGTATCCCTTACATTGAGTGGAAAGCTGTGAGCACTCCCTGTAGATCGTCTTGACTTCTACATTCCATCTACCTGGGTAGGTCATTGATACAATATATCCAAGAGTCATGTAAGAGATGACAGTGTGTTACAAGTGCCTTCACCATGTTCATTATGTTGGGGTTACTGGCCACAGTGGTCGAGTCTGCTGGGTGCTGCAGTTACTTTGCTGAGTTGTGTCCCTTGGGCAGTTCTGGAAACATTCAGTTGTGGTTTCAAATCCATTTCCTCCAATTATGGTTTTTGTCCCCTGCTGCAACACGGAATGGGGGATTATGTATTCAGCGGCGTCTGCGGCACTTTGACCACTTTACAAACTTATTTAAACGTGATATTTCATAAAACATTGCACCCAATGTTTTCAATTATGTTGACAGCCTACATTGGGTGATTATGCAGACACCAGTCATTTCAGGCATCTTGCATGTGAACCAAAAATAAAAAGTAGTAAATATAGATATTCCATTCTTTAGTCTTTAGTGGCGGGGGACATTGCCATATCAGTGGCAAAAACTTGTTATTTTTGGGACCACCATTACCATAATCTTTGCTCACACAGTATGATATTGTAACAAATAGAGGGCCATCTTTGATGACAGCCATGATATTTTCTTCACCCACCCATATCCTGTGTTTACTCACCACCCATCCATATCCTGTGTTTACTCATCACCCACCCATGCCCTGTGTTTACTGATGTCACCCACCCATGTCCTGTGTTTACTCATCACCCACCCATGTCCTGTGTTTACTGATGTCACCCACCCATGTCCTGTGTTTACTCATCACCCACCCATGTCCTGTGTTTACTGATGTCACCCACCCATGTCCTGTGTTTACTGATGTCACCCATCCATGTCCTGTGTTTACTTACTGATGTCACCACCCATCTTTATGTCCTGTGTTTACTTATCATCACCCACCCATGTCCTGTTTACTGATGTCACCCATCCATGTCCTGTGTTTACTCATCACCCACCCATGTCCTGTGTTTACTGATGTCACCCACCCATGTCCCTGTGTTTACTGATGTCACCCACCCATGTCCTGTGTTACTGATGTCACCACCCATGTCCATGTCCTGTGTTTACTGATCACCCACCCATGTCCTGTGTTTACTGATGTCACCCACCCATGTCCTGTGTTTACTCATCACCCACCCATGTCCTGTGTTTACTCATCACCCACCCATGTCCTGTGTTTACTGATGTCACCCACCCATGTCCTGTGTTTACTGATGTCACCCACCCATGTCCTGTGTTTACTCATCACCCACCCATGTCCTGTGTTTACTGATGTCACCCACCCATGTCCTGTGTTTACTGATGTCACCCACCCATGTCCTGTGTTTACTGATGTCACCCACCCATGTCCTGTGTTTACTGATGTCCCACCCATGTCCTGTGTTTACTGATGTCACCCACCCATGTCCTGTGTTTACTGATGTCACCCACCCATGTCCTGTGTTTACTGACCTGTCACCCACCCATGTCCTGTGTTTGATGTCACTCCATCCATGTCACCACCCATCCATGTCCTGTGTTTACTGATGTCACCCACCCATGTCCTGTGTTTACTCATCACCACCCATGTCCTGTGTTTACTCACCACCCACCATTGTTTTGATGTCCTGTGTTTACTGTCACCCACCCATGTCCTGTGTTTACTGATGTCACCCACCATGTCCTGTTTACACACCACCCATGTCCTGTGTTTACTGATGTCACCCACCCATGTCCTGTGTGTTTACTGATGTCACCCACCCATGTCCTGTGTTTACTGATCACCCATCCATGTCCTGTGTTTACTGATGTCACCCACCCATGTCCTGTGTTTACTGATGTCACCCACCCATGTCCTGTGTTTACCATGTCACCCATGTCATGTCCTGTGTTTACTGATGTCACCCATCCATGTCCTGTGTTTACTGATGTCACCCATCCATGTCCTGTGTTTACTCATGTCCCCACCCATGTCCTGTGTTACTCATGTCACCACCCATGTCCTGTGTTTACTGATGTCACCATGTCCACCCATGTGTCCTGTGTTTACTCACCATCACCACCCATGTCCCATGTCCTGTCACCCACCCATGTCCTGTGTTTACTGGATGTCACCCATGTCCTGTGTTTACCACCCATGTCCATGTTTCACTCCACCCATGTCCTGCATGTGTTTGTCCACCACCCATGTCCTGTGTTTTACTGATGTCCATCACCCATCCATGTCCTGTGTTTACTCATCACCCACCCATGTCCTGTGTTTACTCATGTCACCACACCACCATGTCCTGTGTTTACTCATCACCCACCCATGTCCTGTGTTTACTCATGTCACCCACCCATGTCCTGTGTTTACTGATGTCACCCACCCATGTCCTGTGTTTTACTGATGTCACCCACCCATGTCCTGTGTTTGTCTGTGTTTCATGTCTGATTGTCACTCCATCACCCATGTCCTGTGTTTACTCATCACCCATGTCCATGTCCTGTGTTTACTGATGTCACCCACCCATGTCCTGTGTTTACTGATGTCACCCCCATCCATGTCCTGTGTTTGACTCATGTCACCCCCACCCATGTCCTGTGTTTACTGATGTCCACCCATGTCCCTGTGTTTACTGTCCTGTCACCCACCCATGTCCTGTGTTTACTGATGTCACCCATCCCATGTCCTGTGTTTACTGATGTCACCACCCATGTCCATGTCCTGTGTTTACTGATGTCACCCATCCATGTCCTGTGTTTACTCATGTCACCCACCCATGTCCTGTGTTTACTCATGTGTTACTCACCCATCCATGTCCTGTGTTTACTGTCACCCACCCATGTCCTGTGTTTACTCATCACCCACTCCTCACCCACCCATGTCCTGTGTTTACTGATGTCACCCATCCATGTCCTGTGTTTACTGATGTCACCCACCCATGTGTGTGTTTACTCATCACCCATCCATGTCCTGTGTTACTGATGTCACATCCTGTGTTTACTGATGTCCCCACCCATGTCCTGTGTTTTACTCATCACCCACCCATGTCCTGTGTTTACTGATGTCACCCACCCATGTCCTGTGTTTACTCATCACCCACCTGATGTCACCTGTGTTTACTGATGTCACCCACCCATGTCCTGTGTTTACTCTGTCACCCACCCATGTCCTGTGTTTACTGATGTCACCCACCCATGTCCTGTGTTTACTCATCACCCACCCATGTCCTGTGTTTACTGATGTCACCCATCCATGTCCTGTGTTTACTCATCACCCATCCATGTCCTGTGTTTACTCATGTCACCCATCCATGTCCTGTGTTTACTGATGTCACCCACCCATGTCCTGTGTTTACTCATCACCCACCCATGTCCTGTGTTTACTGATGTCACCCACCCCTGTGTTTTATTGATCACCCATCCATGTCCTGTGTTTATCCATGTCCTGTGTTTACTGTGTCACCCATCCATGTCCTGTGTTTACTGATGTCACCCACCCATGTCCTGTGTTTACCATCACCCATGTCCTGTGTTTACTTACTGATGTCACCCATCCATGTCCTGTGTTTACTGACCCATCCATGTCACCCACCCACCCATGTCCTGTTTACTGTGTTACTCATCACCCACCCATGTCCTGTGTTTACTCATGTCACCACATCCACCCATGTCCTGTGTTTACTGATCACCCACCCATGTCCTGTGTTTACTCATCACCCATCCATGTCCTGTGTTTACTGATGTCACCCACCCATGTCCTGTGTTTACTCATTTGATGTCCACCCATGTCCATGTCACTGTGTTTACTGATGTCACCCACCCATGTGTCCTGTGTGTTTGATCATCACCCATCCATGTCCTGTGTTTACTCATCACCCATCCATGTCCTGTGTTTGTCACCCATCCATGTCCTGTGTTTACTCATCACCCACCCATGTACTGATGTCACCCATCCTGTGTCCTGTGTTTA